CATTGTAATGGCTGCGTCAAGGTTGCTGCGTGCTGTGGCTGCATTCGTAATACTATTGTCTTTTGCAGCTGGATCTCGTAAATCGTATTGGAGTCGCTGCATGAAGGCTGCGACATGGATTTGTTAGCAAATTTTCTCCATTTTGGCGCTAGCGATTTTCCTTCTAAAAATCCTTTTAAAAAGTGCTTCAAAATCGTCTTTTTTTCGCTGTGGCGTCGAGGTCCGATTTTGGAGCTACAATTTCCGACGCCGTTGCGCGTACTTATATATTGTGTTTTGCAACTCAGTCTCTGCAGATCGCATTGTAATGGCTGCGTCAAGGTTGCTGCGTGCTGTGGCTGCATTCGTCTTACTATTGTCTTTTGCAGCTGGATCTCGTAAATCGTATTGGAGTGGCTGCATGAAGGCTGCGAAATGGGTTTGTTAGCAGATTTTCTCCATTTTGGCACTAGTGTTTTTTTGTTGGACGTACGTTTAGAGCAGTGTGAAGTGTGGGGCGTGAAGAGTGCAGTGTGAAGTGTGAAGTGTGAAGGAAGCAGTGGGAAGTGGGAAGTGTGAAGTGTGGAGTGTGAAGTTTCAGTTTGGAGTGCGAAGAGCGCAGTGTGAAGTGTGAAGTGTGAGGTTTGGAGTGTGAAGGAAGCAGTGAGAAGTGAGAAGTGTGAAGTGTGAAGTGTGAGTGAAGTGTGGAGTGTGAAGTGCGAAGTGAGAAGTGTGAAGTTTGGAGTGTGAAGTTTGGAGTGGGAAGGAAGCAGTGAGAAGTGAGAAGTGTGAAGTGTGGACTGTGAAGTGTGGAGTGTGACGTGCGAAGTGAGAAGTGTGAAGTTTGGAGTGTGAAGGAAGCAGTGAGAAGTGAGAAGTGTGAAGTGAGAAGTGTGAAGTGTGGACTGTGAAGTGTGGAGTGCGAAGAGCGCAGCGTGAAGTGTGAAGTGTGAAGTGTGAGGTTTGGAGTGTGAAGGAAGCAGTGAGAAGTGTGAAGTGTGGACTGTGAAGTGTGAGTGAAGTGTGGAGTGGGAAGGAAGCAGTGAGAAGTGAGAAGTGTGAAGTGTGGAGTGTGAAGTGTGGAGTGTGAAGTGCGAAGTGAGAAGTGTGAAGTGTGGACTGTGAAGTGTGGAGTGTGAAGTGCGAAGTGAGAAGTGTGAAGTTTGGAGTGTGAAGGAAGCAGTGAGAAGTGAGAAGTGTGAAGTGAGAAGTGTGAAGTGTGGACTGTGAAGTGTGGAGTGTGAAGTGCGAAGTGACAAGTGTGAAGTGTGAAGTTTGGAGTGTGAAGGAAGCAGTGAGAAGTGAGAAGTGTGAAATGTGGAGTGTGAAGTGTGAAGTCTGAAGTGCGAAGTGAGAAGTGTGGACTGTGAAGTGTGAAGTGTGAAGTGTGGACTGTGAAGTGTGAAGTGTGAAGTGTGGACTGTGAAGTGTGCAGTGTGAAGTGTGGAGTGTGAAGTGTGAAGTTTGGAGTGCGAAGAGTGCAGTGTGCAGTGTGAGGTGTGAGGTGTGGAGTGTCGAGGGAAGGACACGGTCGGGACAGGTTGTCTTTGAACTATAGGTCATTTATGTTTGGGAAACTTCCGCCGCCGGCTTGCCCGGGTCTATGTTAATATATATATGTATTCGAAGTAAGTTTAGAAGTCAACCTTCCGACAATATGGACAGATGAAAAGCAGAGCAGGGCAGAGGCAGAGAGAAGAGAAAGATTAGAAGAGAGAAGAGTAGAAGAGAAAGAGTCAGAAGAAAGAAGATGCATATGCGCGAAAAGGTAGGAAAGTCGGCAGAGAGAAGAGAAAGATTGGAAGAGAGAAGAGTAGAAGAGAAAGAGGCAGAAGAAAGAAGATGCAGATGCGCGAAAAGGTAGGAAAGTCGCGAAACACTGTGTTTTTCCAATGATTTGGGGCTCCGGAGGGTCGAAAAGTAGGCTCGCTAAAGCGGCGGGTGCGGAGCCAGCTGGCCAGATGAGAGATGAAAAAGCGCACGCCGTTGTGGCGCGAAGCACATTTCGAAGTCAAAATGTACAAAACACACCAGCGTCGGACCACTTTTGGAAGTTGAGATGTCGAAAAAGTGGACGCCGTTGTGGCGCGAAGCACATTTCGAAGTGAACATGTACAAAACACACCATGCTCGGACCACTTTTGGAAGTTGCGATGTCGAAAAAAGTGCACGCCGTTGTGGCGCAAAGCATATTTCGAAGTCAAAAGTGTAAAAAACTGACGGGTTCGGAACACTTTTGGGCGTTCAGATGTTGTTTCGCGTGGCAGGCGCAAGGGATTGTGCACCCTGTCAAAAGTGAGCAAAATGTGAGGGTTTTGTAGCATTTCCAAAAAAGATGGCAGGCGTGGGACATTTGAAGAGGATCTGCAAAGATGCATTTTCCGTGGCAGGCGCAGTACAAGAGACATGGTCATCAGAGCTGTTAGGAGGTCCGGGCGCTGATTTCCTGAGAGGGGTTGCATTTTGAAGCATCAGATCTGTAGGTTTGCTAAGATGATTTTGCGTGACAGGTGCAGCACTTCGTATGACCTGGCATCACTTTTTCGTGGCACGCGCGGTACTTTAGACAGGTGGAGTGGAAAAAATGCAAAACGCATTGGTACGAGGCTGTCAGCGCTGCACTTTACTTTCGATTTTTCAAGGAAGTCTCGAAGAATTGCTTTGTTTTTGATGCTGTCAAGTTCAAAAATTGAAGAAGTCTCGCAGAATTGCTTCGTTTTGGGGGTTGTCAAGTTCAAAAACTGCAGACGTCTCGTAGAATTGTTTCGTTTTTGCTGTTGTCAACGTCGAAAAATGAGGAAGTCTCGCAGAAGTGCTTCGTTTTCAAGCTGGCAGATAGACAGGGGGATAGATAGACAGACAGACAGACAGAGAGAGAGAGAGAGAGATAGATAGATAGATAGGTAGGTAGACAGGTAGATAGATAGATACATAGATAGACAGACAGATAGATAGAGAGATAGACAGATAGATAGAGAGACAGCTGGATCGATAGACAGATAGATAGATAGATCGATAGATAGATAGAAAGATAGATAGACAGATAGATGGATAGATAGGTGGATGGATAGATGGATAGATCGATAGATGGATAGATAGATAGATAGACAGACAGGTAGATAGATAGATAGACAGACAGGTAGATAGATAGAGAGATAGATAGGTAGAAAGATAGATAGATAGATAGATAGATAGATAGATAGATAGGTGGATGGATAGATAGATAGATAGATCGATAGATAGATAGATAGAAAGATAGATAGATAGACAAATAGATAGATAGGTAGACGGATGGATAGATAGATAGATAGATAGATAGATAGATAGATAGATAGATAGATACACGGGTAGATAGATAGATAGATAGATAGATAGATAGATAGATAGATAGATAGATAGATAGATAGATAGATAGATAGATAGATAAGTAGATAGACAGATAGACAGATAGATAGAGAGATAGACAGATAGACCGATAGATAGAGAGACAGCTAGATCGATAGACAGATAGATAGATAGATAGCTCGATAGATAGATAGATAGAAAGATAGATAGATAGATAGATCGACAGGCAGATAGATAGATAGATAGACAGACAGACAGATAGATAGATAGATACACTACAACTACAACTACAACTACACCTTACTACACTACACTACACTACGCTACACTACACTCCACTACACTCCACTCCACTCAATTACACTCAATTACATTCATTTACACTACACTACACCACACTACATTCCACTACATTAAATTACACTACACTGCACTACATTACACTACACTACAGTCCACTACACTACACTACATTGCACTACACTACACTCCACTACGCTCCGCTACACTCCACTACGCTACACGCATTTACACTACACTACACTACATTACACTACGCTACATTCCACTACACTCCGCTACACTACACTCAATTACACTACACTACATTGCATTACACTACGCTACACTACATTCCACTACGCTGCACTGCACTAACTACAACTACAACTAAAACTACAACTACAACAATACTACATTTACAATACGCTACACTACACTACACTAATTACACTACACTACACTCCACTACACAACACTACACAGAATGACACTCCACTACACCTACAAATACATTTACAACTGCAGGTGCAACTACACTACATTACATTACGCTACACTAATGACATTACACTACACTACACTACATTACACTACATCACACTAAAAACAACTACAGCTACATAGGACAAAACTACCCTACACCAAGTACATTGCCTTACGCTATACTGCACCACACTACACTACACTACACTACGCTACACTACACCCCACTCCACTACACTACACCTCACTACACTACACTCCATCTACACTACAATACACTATACTCAATTACACTACACTACACCACACCACACTACACTACACCTCACCTACCTACAACTACAACTACAACTACAACTGCAACTACAACTACTACTACAACTACACTACACCAATTGCATTACACCACACCACACTACACACTACACACTACACTACACTACGCTACACTACACTAACTGCATTACACTACACTACACTACACCACACTCAATTACACTACACTACACTACCCTACCCCACATTGCATTACATTACATTACATTACATTCCACTCATTACACCACCACAACTGCAACTGCAACTACACTACACTAATTAGACTACACCACAACTACAACTCCACTACACTACAACTACAACTACAGCTGCACTACACCACACTACATCCAGCAGTTGTGGGTGAGGTGACCGACCAGGTGACCACTGCAACCATTGCAGCCACTCCAAAAAGCACAGCTCCAACCACCTTTCGGTCCATCAGTGGATTCACTCTGCCATCCGTGATTTACAACAACCAATCTCTTCTATAGGCTTCCTATTTTTGAAACTTCCGCCACCGCCTTGTGCGGTACTACTGGTATATGAGTTATATATGTACACGGGTTATCAAGCACCAACGGAAGCTGCTCCTTCTCTGAGGGTGAGGGGCGTCGCCGAGGGGATCGCCTCGTTCGCCATGGGGGGACGAAAACACTGAGAGGAAGGAACTTGAAGATGAAGGAACATTGGAAAACAAAAAAAGGACTTGTGGATCGAAACTAACATAAGTTGGAAACATGTTGGGGCTTCATGGACACCTCATGGCAATTTCAATCGGAAATGACATTTCAAACCATTCGGTTTTGTGGTTCCGAACGAATTGGACAACCCAAGAAACGCTCCGTTGGGGGTCGCGTGAAACATGGCAAAAGGCTCTAAACTTCGTGGTGATGGAGGGAATTAATCATAATTAGACACCCTAATGTGGTGATCAAAACCGATGATTTTCTTTTTGGAACATTCAGCACCAGTGGGATCTCTGAGGTGATCTTCAGGGGTTCATGGCACTCCATAAAAGTCAACCAATGCCAACATGGCAATTCAAACAACGGTGTGAACAGAAACATAAACCAACTAAGATGGGGTATCGACTTTAACCTGGGGCAGTCTTCTGCGTTTATTGCAGCGATGCATAGAAACTGGCTCAGGGGTCACGTCTATTGTGCAACGTTGGAAGCATTTGGCTTGAACCTGGCTGCCCTGGCTTGAACCGAATCTTTGCACATGTAAGGCTACAGGAAAATCAACGCCCACTAAGAGATGAGTCATACACTATCACATTGGAACCGCAAGCCCATCATGGAAAACATCTCCGATATCTGAGATTAAGGTGAACAGTTTGCCCATTCTGGGCCCTTTCTGGGTGGTTCTCCAACGGAGCCGTTCTCCGCCTGCTTCGATCTCGCTGGCGCCGCCGCGATGCGACGCTCCGGGAACGGCCGCGGCGGTCGCGGCGGTCACGCCGGTCACGGGAACGGTCACGGGAACCGTCCGAATGCCTGCCATGGAAAATGTCAATCATGTGCATGTGCAGTATGCCCCCAATGGCAATGGGGAAAATGAATTTCTAAGAGCATCGCATTTTTTTTGGGGTACATAGCATTTAAAGACAAACCCGAGCCTCATCTTGTGCAGAGCATTTCTGTGGCCGATCCGGTAACATTTTCATCTGCTGGGTGGTTGAGCCACTTATCTTGAAACTCTGCAAAGTGCATCCGGATGCATCATAAAAGGTTGGGACTGAGAGTGAAAATTACATCGAACATCAGCAATCAGAAACAGTTTTAGTTTCTTACTCTCATGCCTGAGCTACTGTCGTCAGTTGACATTCCGAGGTCAGGCCAAACAGAAATTGGATGTTAATCACTTGGGCTCTTAACAGTCTTTCACCAGGACATGTCTCACTTGGCTCTTATGCTCTTTTTGTGTTGCTTAAGACTAGGCTCACTGCAAAAGAGTACTTGTCCATGCCTTCTGACTTTGAAAACTGAGGTGAGAGCTATGCAGGTCACTGATTCTCTTGTTTTGTTCACGCAGGTTGAAGCAGAAACAGCTTCGCAGTGTTTATCCATGAGCTCCCCAGATCGAGGATCAGCGGATAGCTAGAAGGCAATGCTAAATGAGTGAGCCGTCTGGCGGTCTGGCGGCTCAGTGGGATCCACTATCCGACACTATCCAGTTGATAAATGTGAGTCATTTCACTCCCTTCCGGTGCATTTCACCTTTCAACATCTGCAAATGCGCAGTCTTTTTGTGCCAGCTCAGTGGTCGAGCGACCCCAACATTTACACGAATGCGATGAGAGCGGAGGGTGATGCTTGACCTTATTGTAATTTCCAAAAAACAGGTTGCACTGGTCAAAATCTGAAATGATCTGCCTCACTTTCCATTGACAAAAAAAACATCACCATTGAATTGCCAGTGAGATTGTTTCACTTCAATCTCTGCTCGATATCTGTTTCACGTGTTCCATGGCGCACATCTCCTGCCGCGCCCGGCCGTCGATGTACGAGCTACACGAGCGGCGATGTCCCAGCAGACCAACAGAGAAACGGATCTTGTCTGGACAGCTGATGTCCTGCTGCTATCTTTTGCTGGTTGCTCATGTTGCTCTCCTTGCTGAACTGCTGGGAAAGTTTCGAATTATGATCCCCCATGGGAATGTTGCGCATGCTTAACATATGGAAGTCTACGCATAGGATAAAGCATTCCCATGAGGGACACTTATGGATAAAACACATATGAGTTTCCTTTCTGCCCTTCTCCCAACCAGAAGTGCCTCAACCCGAGTGAAGCGCTGCTCAAAACGATATGTGAAGCGAGAATACAGCTCCAGATTCAAGTGGTTTTATAAGCGCCAAAGGTTGCTAGAATATATCTCAATATATATTCGTATACTATATGAGATATCACAATATATATATACATATACATGTAATTGGTTGTAGAATATCTGAATGTATTCGAAGGAAACTCAATTCACCAAGTCTACCCACATCCTACTGTGGCTCAGGCTCGCTCAGCACGTGTTCGGCTACCTTAGGGACGCCGCTGATTCCCTGGGACCAGTGGTGGCCAAAAAACTTCAAAAATCCAGCGATTCTTCCATAAAACAATGTATTTTTGTAGTATACCCCCTTTCAGGACAAACCCATACTGTATTGCTCGATGTAATATGTGTATATATATATATATCTATGTATATATATATACACCATTATAATATCCCCATTTTATGTATGTAAAAGTGGTTGACGCCATACGGAATTTTCCAATTCTAGTTGGTTACATCATCATCATCATCATCATCATCCTCAACCCATCATTGCAATTTACCTGATTATATATCTTCCTTGCATTCTCATTAACCTTCTATATCATTGTGTATATACATATTCTACCCTTATCCCCATTGTATACCTACCCATCATTTACCACATTTTGAATGAGCTACTGTGCCAGGATCCCATTTTCATGAGAATATCAATTCCCAGTATATCCGATATATCATGATTCAATATAGCAAGCCGCAGATGCCGAAAAGTGTGAAACCAGGATGGTTTTCGCATCTTTTTGGGGTTTAAACGTTGAAAAACTCCAATGAAATATCCCATATATCATTCTATAGGATATCCATTCTATAGAATTTCCCATGTACAGTATTAATGATGACTTGATGATTCAAGATATCCTAAGTATCCTATAGTATAGATCATTTCCCATAGCATATCCATTTTATAGAATTTTCCAATTCATAGCCATATCGATTCTATAAATATATCATTCTAAAGCCATATATATATAATATAAAATATATATAATATATAAAATATAATATATATAACATATAATATATATAATATATAAAATATATAATATATATATAATATATATATATATAATATAAATAATATATATAATATATATAATCTATATAATCTAAATAATCTATATAATATATATAATATGTATAACATATATATATATAATATATATAATATAAATATATAATATATAAATAATATATATAATATATATATATAATACAATATATATATAATTTCCCATTCTATACATATCCATTCTGGTAGGTGGTACACCTACCCTTTGAAAAACATGAGTTCGTCAGTTGAGATGATGAAATTCCCAATATATGGAAAAATAAAAGCCATGTTCCAAACCACCAACCAGATTATATTATATTATGTAATATCCATTATTATTATCCATTATAATCCATTATTAACCAAAATTAACAATTACTATATACTATTACCAGAATGTGGGAAAAACCATGATAAACCACCCATTTGGGAATTGTTTTACCACCAACCAGTATAAATATCCAACCAGATTGTATTCATATAGACTTTCCCATCGCTTATTGATCGCCTGGGCACCCGAGCTCCAGCCGGGCTTCAAACGGTTCCGGAAGGCCTCACTTTTTCGACGCCGGATCGACATTTTGTGGTCAACGGTTAGGCAAAAGGAAGGAGAACCAGCCGGGTAACCGTCAGAAAGCTGTTGGTGGTACAGAAATGCTATCATTTTTTTTCTAAATGCAATTTGTAATCAATCATAGATATCTAGTTGATTAGAAAACATTGCCATGTGCGGCGAAGAAATGAAGGATTGAAACTACCCATGCACGGTTTCTCAAGTACAAATAATGGAAATAACGAAATAACTGATTAGTAAAAGAGTGGTTGGTCTCCGGCAGGAAGCTTGCTCCCAATATTTGACCCTGCGATGAGAAACATGTCTATACATACATGTCTGCATCGGATTATGAATGGGTAACTCAAGGGTTATCAATCAGTTATTTGTATGGATATGTATGTACATATAGTCATGTAGTTGTATAGATGAATAATAATCTCTATATAGTCACACACACAAATATATACATATATATATATACATAATCATAAATATATAGTCATATATATATATATTACATAAATGATATTCTGCACGGCCTTGCCGTGCCAGCAGACCGTTGTATCCCATTCAGCTGTCCGGAGGCCCCACCTGTCGGCTAGGCCTCGTGGTCGGCAGAGTGATCGAATCAGGTCTCTGAGAATCTGCTGTTTCTTTTAGTACAATGTGAGGCCCCCAAGATAGCTAAGTTGGTGCCAATAACTCCAATAACTATGGTTTATGGTACGCAAATAACGAACTAGTTACTGGGGCGAATCTAAACCAACTTATAGCTGGGGGGCCTCACATTGTAGGAATGGTTGCAACTGAAATCGGAATCAGAAATTATAACCTTGCTGACCAGAGCTCGGAATGCAATGTAAAGCGAGGCTATCCGATCTCTGTTGGGCAAGGAATCAGAAAAAATCAAATGGCAAGCTATAGACCAGGTGTGAAGATCAACAGGACAAGGACAGATTTGGACAGGAAATTCATGCTGACAGCCAAAGATGAATTTTATTCAGAGGATCTCTGACCAACTGCGTCCCCCAAATGGGTGGCAAATCCAAGGGTTTAGCACATCATTTTCGCATCTCTGGATCCAAAGTACCCAAGTACTTGCTATACACCACTTAGATCCCCAATGGTAGCTTCAACATATATTTTCAAACTGACGTTTGTTTTTTTCCAGGATATACTGTCCATTCTAATGGCACTTTTCCAGGATATCTTCCATCATTGTCCAGGATATTTTTGAGGAGATCTATTTCCCATTTTCCATATAAACCGTGAATCTTTCCATTTTCACATCAATTTTCTGATTTTCAAGAAATGTCCAGCAGTCGAAAACCACCATTTTGTATTGGGAAAACCAGGAGGTTGACCATTTCCGGCCATTTTATTTCCCGTTTTCCAATTTTATAAGTTGTGATTTCCATTTTCACATCAATTTTATGATTTTCAAGATTTTTCCATCATTTTCCCATAAATTTGCCAAATCTATCATAATTTACATCATATTTTCCTTAATTTTCTCATGATTTTCACCTAAATTTCATCAGAATTTCAGCCCCGCAGCTGGTTCGTTGGCCAAGTCTGCTGCCCTTGCAAGAGCGCAGCCTGGGGCGCTTTGGTGATGGGGGTTTGTACTGTTTGGGGATGGGAAAACACCTATGATTAATATTGGCTAATATTGGTTAATGGATGTTGATGGATGTAAAAAACTATTGTTAATGCAAAAGTATAACTTGTTAATGGATGTTAATGAGTTAACCAACTATATAGTTCATGTTAAAACGATAGTTCATGAGGGTGAACGGGTTTCTAAGCCAATGACAAGATTAATGGATGTCAGTGGATGTTAATGGATGTTGATGGGTTTATAAACCAACTACAGTTCATATATATAATTCATTTCCCTCATTCAAATGAAACCCACCCCAGAAACCATGGTGGATGTAGGGTCTGAAATCACATATGACTGGGACCATACAACGTGGTGTTTATGAATGGGAGATTGGCATTAGCGTTCTTTTAGGTTCAGGACAGAATGGACAAAGCCCCGAATGCTTGGGAAATCCTACAGGGAACTTGGCGAACTTGGAAACATGGATGTAAATTGGAACATCTACAAGAACCATTGCTTTTCAATGAAACAAAACGGGTTTTCCTGCAGGTTTTTCTCTGCCATTTCGGGATTTCGGATGGCAGCTTCCCCTGAGGTCTATGGAGAATCTCATCTGCTGATCTTTTTCCACGCTGGCGTCCTATCTTTGGGATCTGTCGATCCAGGTGGATGTGTGAAACTGCTGATGGATGATGGCATGACAGATTTATTTATGTGCACATGTTGTACATTAATCAAATATGTAATATATCCATTAAATGGCATATACGTTTGTGTGTGTATACTGGTTGGTGGTTTGAACCCCTCTGAAAAATATTAGTCAGTTGGGATGATTATTCCCAATATATGGAAAATTAAAAAATGTTCCAAACCACCAACCAGTATATATATATATATACGTATATGTACATACACACAATATTATATGTTTGACACGCCCGATTTGATATGCGCGATCTCGACGGCATCATGCAGCCATACGCGCCGCAAAGAGGCCTTTCCTGGCAGGCCATTTTTCGGGATTTCCTAGTGAGATGGGAAGAGTTTTAGGTGCCATTGACAAAGCGATATTTTTGTACTGGAATGAAAAAACATATTCATCCCTGCCGAAAAGTAAAGTGTTTGGATTTAAAGCTTCGATTTGTTGAGATCGGTGGTAGTTGGCTCGCAATGCTGGCTCTGTGGTCCACTTTCAATGTCCTTTGAGCGAAACAGGGGCAAAAAATACATCCAGCTAGAGGCCATATCTTCACCGGGAATATTTTGAGCTCGCACAAGTGGATCTTCACTTGCAGTTTGAATCTTGATAGCCCCGAGAAATACAAGACACTGATGCGACGCAACATGGTTTCATCGGACTGTGGTAGGTTCATACTTTGCTGGGATAGATCATTCGTGAAATCTGGCTGTTCTTGGCAACGACCACCATCTTAGAATGGCAAGTCCCAGAATTCGAATCAACTCGACGCTTGGCTTAAAATGACATATTCCAAAAACGCCAACACGTTTCGGACAGAAACATCATGCAGCATCTGTGGTTCATCGGCGCAATGCACGCCGAGAGTCAGTGATTCTGAGACCTCCCCAGAAGTTCCGACAACCTGAAACAAAGCCAAGGGTCTGTCATTGGGCCATGGCCATGGATATATCGATCATATCGATCTATCCAAGCCAGTGGCTTTCCAAATCGACCATCCACGAGTGATTTTTTTGGATCAAGCCATCACGTTCGTGGGGATCATGGCCAACATCAGCATGAAGCCAGAAAAAGTTCAGCTCAAGTTCAGCTGTTCTGGAAGAATTAGCCCTTACTTATTCAGCATCATTCCAGTTGCGACAGTCGTGATCAAACTCATCCAAAGAGTTTGGACGAACATTCAGTTTTTTTTCTAGCTATACTTCCTTCCCAGCATACAAGGGGTAAGAAAAATATGGAACATCTCACTGGGGTAACAAAAACAATCAACACGGAAGAAACACACAAAAATCACAAAACATATGGATAACACCAAAATCGGTCTAATGGTTAAATCCATGACCCCCATAAATATTGGTATGTCATGAGTTACAGCTTCATTTTTTAAACCAATGGGTATCAGCCAGCGCCAAGGCGCCAAGTTCATGAGCTCTGCCAGGCTCACCTCACCGTCCTGACCCGATTTCGTTTGGAGCCAAAAACGTTTGGGATTTCCCCGTGAACAAATGGATTTAACATGGGTTTAACATGGGTGTAACATGGAATATGGATTTACCATGGATTTAACATGGATTTGATATGGGTTTAAGATGGGTTTCATCTGCGATCCATGAGGAACTTGAGATTTGAACTGATGGATGCAACAAATATGATACGAACCCACGATGATTGGGATTTCTGAGACATTTGGGACCAAAATGACCAAAACCCGTCACATCGTTATTTCAGGAGGGATATCCCATAGCTTTCATGCTTACCAACGTGGATTCAACAATTCAGCATGATTCGACAAAAAATGACAAGTTTGCAAAATCGAAATTCAGCAAACATGGGAATTAGGGAAACCCCAATTGTGGATTCGCTGGGGGTTTGACAAAAAAGGTGAACTTGAAAACAATAACTTCGAGAAAACAGAGATTTGATAACAACGAGGTTCTGAATTAAACATCTTTCTTGGCAATAATGGGCCATACACGTTGACAACTGGGGTTAGCGCTTGCTCACTTCGGGGACGCACCAAAAATCAACTTCCAGAGGCCAACCATTCTGGTTGAGCTATCTCCATTTTTTGTCAACACGAAGTCAATTCAACCAGTTTGGGTTGGTGTTTGTGTTTGGGCCAATTTCTGCCTGGTATCTCTTGCATAGAAGTGACACAGGAACGAATGACAGCTTTGTCTCATGTCTTTCACCCGAAGTCTGCCAAACATGTTGGAAGAGCACAAGCAAAACGCAATTGCGAAACAGGCGGGCTTTACCATTTCAATATCTGACATCTAAAGACCTTGTTAATCAGGACAAAAAGATGATCATGGTGATCTTGGCATGTCTTGATTTCATTTCACACAATCAGTCTACATCAATCTCTGGTGAGTCCCGGCGACCTTACCTCCCGAAAAAGTGTTTTCGACGGCTCCTGTCCCTTGTCCAAGAGTTCTGAAAGGTATAAAGCATCTTTCACCTGGCGTCATTGTGGATCGATCGTATCCTTTTTGGTCTTGTGATGTCGATTAACAGGTCTACAAGAATAGATCGAACAGATCCCCTATGTATTTTGGTAATTCAACAGTTTGCGAAGCCATTGAGACCCGCCTCCAAGGCACCCTGTTGAACCATTTCTTTGATGGAGATGGTGCCTCAGGGCACATCCAAATGTGGAACATCCAACATCATATTGAATATTGAACCATTTTGAACCAGCATCAAAAGTTGAGTAATTTTGTTTCTCAATTCGGCAGATGAGGCACCATCATCATCTTCATCAAGGACGTCGAAGACATTCTTCAGATCAACAACTGGAATCTCCACCTCAGCACCATTTTGAGATGATCCAATCATCCAAATCTGAAGCAAACGATGGCGCCTTGAGTCTTCCCTTCGGATCCTGGTTGCGCCCAGATTTGGATCTCAAAAAATCTCTGGCCGTTTTTTTACGATCCAAAGTAACCAGGTCAAAAATCACTCAGCACCGATGAACTGGGCGGGAATCAGTCCTTCTTTTCCTCAGACACCAAATGCAGGATGTTGCTCAGCCCTTCCTGTACGAGTGATGGGCTGATGGTGAGAGGATTGTTATTCACTAAATAGTGATAACTATATATATATATATATTATCAACAATATTATCAACTATATCAAAATCACATAGTAGTGGGTGAAAGTGGGATCACCACCGTAGAAACTGGAGCCTAGTCATGTCATGATTTCTGGAAGCGACCCCACGGCCCACAACCCCACCATTTCGGTCGGGTTGTCGTCGGCCTGCGCCCAGAATCTCCGGAAGCATCCCAGCACAAACTTCAAATCAACTCGGTCGGGCGATGGGTGAGTTATGGTTCCACCTCCCGGGATTCCGCTGGGAAAATTGGTAACCCCAGTGGGGATGACGATGGGAGCCACCTGCCTGTTTGCCTGCCAAGGTACATCTTTTGATCCTTGGATGCAGTATGGATCGAAAAGAGGGGGATTCAAGGGTCAAATCAACAATCCCCCAATTTCAAAACACTTGAATCTTGAAGAAGCTTCGGGCTAGCTTTCATTTGAATCTCTCAAGGCACTTCAGATTTTCAGCTCTGACTTTCCGCACCGGACTGGTTCGATTTGCCGATTGACGTGTTTGTTTTGGATTTGTCCCTCGATTTCCGGTTTTCCACTGGGCAATGATCATATTCAAGGTGCCACACATTGCCACGAATTGCCATTGTTGAAGTGAAACCATCAAAATTAGGACGCTTCTAAAGATTTTCCCCATCGAATTCCTCTCTACAATTGTGGATATGGGCTAAATGTTGAGACCGATGGCACTAACCATGCCCAAGGAGGTGGATGCATCCAAAAACAGGCTCTCACACGTGCCGTGGGTCGGTGACCACGTGCGATCCTGTTACCTCGCCCACGGGGCCTCTAGTATAAAACCTGAATTCATACATACAAACAGGGGTGGTGGGGAGTTGACTTGATACAAAAACGACGATGCCTCCAATGCTGTCAAGGCGTTGTGAAACAGGAGCAGGTTTTGGACTTGATCCTTTCCATATCAATTGTGGATATGTGTATATATATATATACAATTTTCCCAATCTTTATGGATTTATCCTCAACTGGACATCAAGTGAATAGCTCCACCACTGCCGCTCAGCAGCCCCGGGAAGACCACAGGAATAAAGATCTCCTGCGCTGAACCATGGTTTTGGAGGGATCAACAACCTATGTATCTATGTATCTATGTATGTATCTATGTATGTATGTATGTATGTATGTATGTATGTATGTATGTATGTGTATATGTATATATATATTTGTGTATATATATATATAGGTAGATATATCTACTATGTGGAGGACCAAATGTGGTATCATAGGTCTCGATCACACATAGTACTGCCGATAGCTTCCATTTTGCACTGATCAGCATGTGTCCTTGGTGTATATATTATATCTATTTATTTCATCATGTTTATTGGAAGGAGAAGGCTGCTTGGGGGTGTTCCACTTCGCTTTCCGGAAGTATCATAATCCAGCTGCACCACAGGAATCTCCAGTTCCACGAATCGACGGTGGGAAGGGCATGGGTTGTGCACCGGACCTGTGAAATCTCCTCTTCCTTCATTGCCTGCAATTTTCGATACACCTGGCGGATTTGAATAAATTTGACAAACGTGCCAATTTTGGATCCTATTGGATCCTATTGGATCCTATGATATCAGAGATAAGCCAAGATCAGCACCAAGCCGAGTTGGGTCACCCATCGCCTCGTTGGATGTGAGTCTAGTGAGCATCTTGTCCCTGCGGCAGGACGGAATTTCTGTGGAAAGCATTGGAAAGCTAGAAACCATAGTGCCAGAGTATATCTATTATACATATGGGGGATGTACATATAATATATATATATATACAAATAAATATATATATATAAATAAATAAATAAACAAATATATATATATACCTAGATAAAGTTCTCTCCTGTGTAAAGGGGGACAATCCAGCAAGCAACTGCTTTACTCGGCTGCAACCGGTCTTAGTTTGCAGCCGTCTGAATGAATTTCGGCCATGGAAGTCACAGTCACCCCGTGCCATGGCTTGGGGGTTGGACATTACAGCATTGGTTTCAAGAATCTGTCTCTATAATTCAGTCAAGTATACATGATACATGATATACACATATATATATATATTATACATATACATATATATATATATGTTATACATAATACATATATATATATATACACATAAAAATGTCTATACATATATATGTATATATATGTATGTATATATATATATGTGTATGTATATATATATATATCATGTATATATATATGTATACATATAGGGATTCCTTGCTAATCAAATATTGATAATTCATGGGGATGACTTGCTACACCAAGAATCACATTTTTCTATATCTCCATCTCTATAAAAGAATGTGGTTGATCTATTTGTGCTACTTGATTGCAGCCAAAGATCTCAGCTTTCGACGTCATCTCGGCAATCTCACCCTCCTTGGAAGTGGATTGGACTGAAGTGGGACTGGTTGGACTCATGAGGAAACTCAGGAATTGGTTTATAGCGTATTTATACCATCAAAATTGTTCAAAAAACTATTCCCATCGAAATAAATCCAGAAATTCTCTTCCCTCCTAAAAGCTCCTCCGGGGTCGAGTGGTTTGACGGAATTCCAGCCGATTGTACTATATAGTATGAACAAAAATGGGTGCGTCCAGAAATGATGGGTTTTTCGGTAAAGCCCAAAATGGGGAAACGTTTAATTTGGTTTCACCCAATCGCTCATGATTTTCTCCAACAAAGCTCTGGCTATTTGCAGCTCGGGATCGAGTTTATGAATTCGCTGTCGAAGTGCCTGCCGTGTCCAAGCCAAGCGGAACGCTGTGGAAAGTCAGACTTAGCACTTCACTGAACCAAGGTCTTTTCGACCCTAAAGAGTGTGGCTTCATCCGGAAACTGTATGGTTAATAGTAATGTATTGATGGATCGAAGGGGTACAATGCTAAATTTCCCGGGTCCAACTAAAAGCTGAGGGCTGGGTGATTTGCGCACTAGTGAATGCAGGATACAAACTTTCGCGGAACATCACAAGAATGAGCATAGAAAAGCCTCCATCCATGCAGTGAGATCCATGACCCTAAACCCAAAGAGTTTTGTTCAACATCACTTTGAGTTAACAAAGTCTATGGCATATATGGTCTTCTGCTATCTGCCATTGCCATATTCCCATCATGCTGCCATGACACCAGGATCACGGGACCTCTGGGCCTCGGCGCCAAAACTGGGGTAACTGGGCTCCAGATTTTCTTCTCTTGGAACAAAGAAACACAAAGAAACCCATCTTTTTTTCATCAGGATGACGATGATTCATGGTTTGAAATGAAATGATTCATCAAACTCCGGACAATTTCAAACCATGTCAACATGGGGAATGAACCATTCATTTGTGATGGAAAACCAACTAACCATGGCAGCCATGGTCCATGGCGGGGAACGTGATGATGATCTCACGGGGAGATCAGCTGATTGCTGGGGAATTTCATTGGCTGATGAATCTTTGCATAGGAGAAACCTCCTGCAGTCGATTGCTTCAGAAATTCCGTAACGAAAACGGAGTTGTTTGGGGTGTCCCTTCAATAGCAGCTCGGTGTTCCTGACATGAGTGGGCTGTCAAAAAACTGCCAAGTTTCAAACCAAACATCCACGGTGAACCACTTTCTCAGCACCAACTCGGCTTCCATCTGGTCCAGTCATCCAGTCATCAAATTTGGTCCATTCATTTCATGTTCATTTATATCTCCAAAGATTATTGACTTAAAATAATCCAATTTTGTGTCAATTTACACACTATATGATCTCCCGCAAATAGGTTACATCAAAATTTGGCACCGATTATCATGCTATTCTGAAAAGAACCTCATCTTCCCCATACAATGGGATGCCCGTCCCTCATTTTCGGAGGAAACCGCATTATTGCTCATATCTCCACACTGAATCACAATATAAATCTATTCCCTCCATACGACCCACATTTTGATGGTCAAATCATGTTAAATCAAAATTTTTTGGCCGTTGATATCCACCATTCTTGCACGAACCCATTCTAGGTCTTTATTGTTTGGTCAGAAATTCCTCCATTGTGGGTGCTCTAATCCTACATTGGTTGTATTTATGATGTCGATTTAGGATTCATAAGAGCCACCCTATGAGTAACACCGGTTTTCCCCTGATTTTTGTGCAACACATTTGCACAATAGCGCAGTCAATGGGGTAATGTTACACCCTTCATGAGTGCTGCATGCCCCCAATTTGTAAAGCCTCTATCTGACCCCCATCATATCCCCCAACAAATATATGCGTATACAACCCATTATATCCCATTATATCCTGATAAAATGGTTGATGCGACCTCATCAATTTCTCTTGGATAGACCACTAACCGATACACCAATGTTATCCTCGGCCAGAAAGATTTTCCCATCAATTATATCACTATTGATTAGCAAAGAATCCATATAATTATATATATATATATATTTATAGATAGTTATGTCCATATCTATGTATGTATGTATGATATGTACATATTATATATATATGTAATATAATATGTATCCCCTTCTGTCCCATGATATCTTCATCAGCCATTTTTCCCAAGATTTTCATCCAGGCACTGCAGGGATTTCAGCAGCTCGCTGCGTGAGATCAGCGGCACCTGGCTGAACTGCTTGGCGCCGCCGGCCAACTGCCAGAAGAGGTACAGGATGTAGGACGCCTGCGGAACATTTCAGAAAGGCGGGGGGTTTCAATCCCAGAATGGTGGAAACCAATTGCTATTTTTGTGACCAAACATGGCTAAAGAACGAAAAGGCTTAGAAAACGGTCAGATTTCCATTAGTTTCATCATGTACAATGGAAGTCTGGTAGAAAGTCACCACCGAAAACGATTTAAGCAACCTGAACACATGGGGAAGATGCAATCAACCACTTCTTGGGATGTCATGGCACTTCCAATGGGGCGATGGTAAAAGGTTTTTGGGGTACCACATTGTCGTTGTCCGACCTGTGTGAAATTCATCATTGGCAGATCGTCACGCGATTATCATCAGAGAACTTTTGTTAGGATGGGCATGGAATTTGAACAATGTCTGAATTATTTCCTGAAGAGTCTTTGTGCCAAAATGATTGAATAAATTGAACACACTTGAATGATATGCGCATTCAATTTAGTAATTGCGTCAATAATTCAATCAGCTGAATAGTCGATATTTAAATATGTGCATGTTAAAGTGACGAAACAATTTTACTCCCTTGAATTGCCCAAAGAAGCGTCGAATGATTTTATAGCAATCATTTTCTTGTACCATACCATGACAACTTCGATAATCATTTCATAACAAGTATACTGGTTCAAAAACCAGCCGTAAACCTATCATGTTTTCCAGAAACTCTTGGTAGGTCCCTGGAGGATCCTCCTTTAATTCATCGGGGAAATGCTTGTACAGCCTGCGGGTAAACACCTTTGGTTGCAGAGCCAATTTTGTCATAAACTGGTTGGGGATATATCTCAGAACATTGCTTTAAACATATATAAACCACATAAAAAACCCGCCTTTTCGGTTGCTTTTTGGCTCCAGTTCGAATCAATCGAATCGTGCCTCCCGGGTGACGTGATGCGCTGGGGTCCTGGGCTCTGGAGCGGTTGGATCAAAGAACAGGAGGTTCACCTGGGCGCTGATGGATTTCCCACCGGTGAAGGGGAGAAGCTTCAGGTTGTTGGGATCACATCATTGGAGTTTTTTTTAAGAACGATTAAAACAAATTAAAACCAAACCAAACCAGTCTTTGAGATATGTTCATTTTTTTGTATGATTTGAATTCATTAGATTCAAGTCTATTTTGTGCTTGGACATTTACACAACTGCAAAGACGGTATTGGTTCCGTCAGCCAAATGAGTATCGGAATCACTTCACTAACCTCGAAAGCTGAGCATAGATCAGTATGGATGGCTACCTTGAAAAATCACACACTGCTATTGTGAGCACATACGTGTAAGATCGTAGAAGTATGACATTCTTGACCATGACACGTGGGAGCTCACAATTACAGCAAACATGGATAGCCAAATCCTAACAACCAATCCATTGGGTCCAGAAGAATGATACACCATGGGTTGCCATAGCTTTTTTTTTCACGTGCCTAGCCATGTCCCCACGTGCTGCTGCACAAGTCACGAACTCATCGTATTCCACCATGTTGTTAAAGTTCCTCGGTCGCGAAGGGATCACCATGGATGAACCAGCGAACCAGCTGAGCCAAGCTGAGCCAAGCCGAGCATCTTATCAATTTTTCCTCGGCTCACATCGAACGCACACCTGGACCTCTTTTTGGAATGTTGGAACCTTCAGTAATCCGGACCAATGCTAACTACACAGCCCATGCTTTGTGGATCTTATAGGGAAAACTATGACAAAATCATGATCCAGAAGGGGGTTGATCCACGATGCTGCCATTGCCGACGCAGCAAATAGGTCCGTTGAGTATTGGGTTACACGGTTACACCAGGATAGACAGATGGGTCATTTCATTACAATTTCAGTTGATATTCCCTTCCTCTCCAGATTCCCGGGAATTCCTTTTAGCACTCCACCCCCAGTTGGGTGTATCGGAAGATGGGGGGTACCGACAAATTTGTAATTTTCATGGAACATATGATGAACATCACCAAAAAAGGATTCTGAGACACCATATTTTCAGACCAACATAAATAGTAATAATACATTTTTTGGTTTGATACACAGTATCTCCCTTCAAATATGGTCAGATATATCCACCAAATATTGCCTTATCTCACATAAGTATGATTAGCCCCATTAAACAGCTGAATATCAAACTAAAAGAGATAAACGGCATCGACAATGACTGAATAACACTTTCATGGATATTCAATGGACACATCCCATGACGTTGTTCAGCTGTTTATTGAGGCCCAGTCATCCACTACTGAGGCCATGGCGGTCCAACGTTCCAACGTGTCGAGGAACGGAAGACCAGATCCAAATCCAGCTGAGAGATGCCAGGCACCAACTTTCCTGCGAGCCGCGCCATGGTAAAAACTGGGAATGTTTTCACCAAAACATGATCTTTAAGGGAATATTGATATGATGGGAAATAGTAACTAGTTCCCATCTTCGCCATACTTTATGGGACTATTGTATTGATATATGTATGTGTATATCTATGTATATATATATAGATATTATGGAGAAATAGTAGAATTGATCGTAGTAAATCGTTCGATCCAGCGAACTAAGCCTCCATTGAGAGTGGATTTTCCATTGTAGCGTTTGATTGCTGTGTATGCATCATATTTTACGGGATTCATATTGCTATATTAAATATTAATGTTGTAATAGTATAATTTATGGTAGATAGTATCAACTGTAATAACAAATATTGATATTGACCATTCATATTGATACTATAATGATAGATGTACAATAGTCATATTTACAATTCATATTGATATTCAAACAATAATGAATCATATTTGATACTGGGGAAGCCTACTATCTAACCAGCGGCTATGGCTTTCTCCGATGTGTGGGTCTGGGGTACCAGCCAGGACCCCAGAGACGATTTGGGAGCATTAGCCTTGGCCTCTCAATATATTGCAGGAAACTTCACATTCAATGGATTGGTTTAAGGGGAAATCTACAGGAAACCATGGTTTTTACCATCAAATATAGGGGTTTCCTGTAAATTTTCCCATCATCCAATTCTATGACACACAAGAAACATGTCAACACTTCCACTGCAGTATGAAACAGCAAGTCTTGGGCAAGTCTTGGGTAAGATTGTGTCAGGATTCAAACTCGCTGTCCCAGAAAAGGTGTTTTTTTGGGATACCTGGGTCATATGAGTCATATCAGTCATATCCAGCCGAGGTTCTCAAGATCTCTTCCAAATTCTGACGACTGATGGTGCCGTCTTTATCCGTGTCATACTTCCGAAAGACTTCCTGCCAAAAAGGCCATGGAAAAAGATCGACACGGCCATGGCCACTTGTTGAATGGGAATGGAATGGTGGAAAAACTTGGGACAATTGGTGGATCATGTAGAAAAATCGGGCTTCGACAATTCGAGCTGGACGAAATACCAAAAGGTTTGGAAGTTTGGATGGTGAGTTTCCCTTTTAGAAAGGTCAAACCAGCCATCACCAGCCATGGAACCCGCATTTTCTTCACCGACATCAAGGGATCCCCCAGATCCATCGCTCGATCGGTAGGGGCGCGCAGCGAACTCGAAGAGGTCTTCTGCTTGAGCCGCTGGCTTTTTCTGGCTGAACTTGGTGATATCCAATGGGATATTGGTGGAGCTATGGGGATATTTTCATGGTATCCATGGGATATTCACGGGATATTGGAGTTTGATCAACATCAAATGGAGTGGGGATATTGCATGGGATGATGGGATAGTAATGAAGACTGATACAGCCTTTTTGCCACAACCTTTGGAAGATGTTTCCTGTAGCGATGTGCTACCTCTTGGATCTTCAAGTATTCCGTATTGAGTCCAGCAATGCAAACTTGGACTTCGATGATGATAACGATGAGGATGAGGATGAGGATGAATCATGAATGATGAATCATAAATGATGAATGATACATGATATATTTTATATGAATACTATCACATGTTATCACTACATTCGTCTTTAGCGCCAGGTCAGCTCCAGAGTTTCAGGCCCTGACACGACTCCGTCCAAAAGGCGACTTGGCCCTGGCGATGGCATCGAACATTTCAAATCCTCTGGAAACCATCAGGGGCTATAGATGTTGAAACCATAGAAACACACCATTAATGAAGTACCCTCCAGTAAATTAACATAGACCCTGGCAGGTTTAGGGGTTGGAAGATTCGTTTTCATTCAAAATTGGTGATTCTCAGGGTCTATGTTAATTTACCAGATGGTATCCATAGAAATCCTTTTGGTGTATGTCTATGGTTTCGGATTTCTATGGATCCTCCATACCACGCCTCTCGGAGCCGGCCTCACAGAGGGCGGGGGCTAACCCCATGACTATGGACCCTTTTTGCGCTACGGTAGATGTTTGAAAATTTAATCTGGTAATAGGTCTGTATGATATACATAATTATACACACATATATATATATATAGATAGTGGAATCTATCTATCTATCTATCTATTTATCTATATATATATATGCAACATGTACTATCTGCCTTTGATATCAATATATCGACATGTACCGCTAATTGGGGATGGTATGTACCACCCATTGATGTTGATTTGGGGGATGGTTTATGATTTTGTTTACGACATTGTGTTCACATTATATCTCCATTGGCTTATGATTTTGTTTACGACACTGTGTTCACATTATATCATGTATGTATGTATATGTATATATATACCACATATATACAAACTTCTATACATATATGTGTATATATATGTATATATACATATATATATATGGAGGTTTCCTGAAATGGGAGTATCCCCAAATCATCAATTTTAAAAAGGGTTTTCTTTCATAAACAATCCATTTGGGGCCCTCATATATATCCCCTATGATATTCAATTATATCGGTTTATTACCACATGACCCCCATCATTGGAAGGCCCATGGCTCGTTCCATGACATCATCTTCTATGCCGGTCACGTGAACGGGCCTCTCGAGGTTCCAGTGGAGAACTCGGCCTGGCGATGTTTTGGAAAAGGCCACGATTTTTTGGGGGATTTCATGGGGAATTTATGCGATTTCATGCGGGTTTCTATGGATTTAACAACCAAAAAGAACATATTCCAGCAGAGAAAATCCAATTGGTCATCGCAAACTGGATACAACGCACCTTAGAAATCCATGAAATAAGCAAATCTTGAAGTTCCCACTAAAACTAAAAACCGACATTTTTAAACGGGATGGGTTTTTACCGTTTTACCATTCAAACTGCCGTTTTTAGAGATTTCTCACTTTCATTTTTGGTCATTCTCCCGGGACGCGCCGGCACCTTGATCGTCCCGTGACCGTTGCCTGGGCGGCATCAGCCATTGGATATCAATGCACTTCACGTCATGATACCATTGGCGATCGTTAGTCATGATACCATTTTTCGATATTTTCTATACCATTCAAAGATGTTTTTTTCTACTCGGTAAAAAACCATTCAAAGATGGGATATATATATATATATATATCATAGATGGGGTATCCATTGGTCCATTTATGTACCACTGATAATAATGGTACCACTATGGTGAGTTATACACCAATATTTTGAATGTCGATGGTCTCCATGAAGATGGCGTTTGGCAGACAGAATGGCCTCGTGCATCGCCAGGAGCCGTCGTTTGAGAATGGCGTTCTCCTACGGCGACCGAAATCCGACGGAAATCCATCTGGGGATGAAGATCGAAACTGGAAACTATGGCAATTTTTGGCTACCCTCTGGTAATGACTAACATAGCTATGGAAAATCACCATTCTTGATGGGAAAACTCCCTATTTCTATGGCCATGGCTTCAATAGCAAACTGTAAACGTTTACCAGAGGCTAAATGGTCTGAAGAGCCCATTGCCATCCTTCCAACGAATATGGACCCTGCGAATTAGGGTCGAGCCGTGAATGTTGGGATGGCAAATTTGCCAAAATATGGTGATAGTTGAATCCCATCATATCATCATATATCTCTATGATATGTTTAAAAAATAGTATCGCCACATATGCCACATCATCATTAAAATATCCCATAAATATCCCATGATCCATATGATGGGTTATCCCATTTAATCAATATCCTCACTATGTCCAAAATATATCTCTCCCCCTACGGCGAATCCCCGACACCGTCCAGCCAGTGCTCCTTTCGGAGGGCCTCTGCCTCCGCCTGGCTGGCAGACGCGATTTTCCGATGGGATCCAATGAGGTTTTTTTTAGACATTGATCCTGTACCCCCCAAAAAGATGCCACAACTTGTGTAATTAATCTATGGTTCAATCTATCAGAATCTATCACTATTTTAGATTTGGATTTTACATTTTGATCTTATTGGAGGGTACTAAGAGCTTGGGGGTTACGATAAGGAAGGGATTCTACTGGATATGTGCTGGATATCCAATTTTCCCATGTTTTTGGGATCCATTTCATGTTTTTGGGATCCATTTTTTTGATATGGACATTCTACTGGGATGATGATATGATGTCAGTGCTTAAGGACGATGAAACCGGCATCAACTGCTTGGTGCTTCCTATCGCGCTGGGGAAATCATCCAACTAAAGACATGTTCTTTTGCCATATTTACCCAGATCTGGTTGCAAGATCTTCTTGTTTCTGAGGTATCCCATGATTCAACTGCTCAGATATCATGAGGACTTTCGGTAAACAAGTCATTCATCCCATGGCCCGAATGCGCCTCCAGAGTTGATGTCCCTGCGAGGGGATCTTTCGCAGGCTGTTGAAACAATAGAAACCAGCTATGTGAAGTTTATGTGAAATAGACTGTAGGTCAGGTATATCACCCATACATAAATATATATATATACACATATATAAAAACCATACATATATCTATCTATATATATATATATCTATATATCTCTATGTATGTATGATATTTTTTTCCTTGTTTTTTTGCCCTGAATCCTCGAAACACTGCGCCTCCGGCAGCCTCGCGGGTGCGACGCCTGGCGACGCTTTTCTTCGCGACGAAGAAATGGCGGTGGAAAAGCCATGGGTTTCCCTGGGAAAGTCATCATTTAATGGTAGGGAATGTAGGTAAATCATGTTTTTTTCTATGGGTTCCTTGAAGAAGATGCAATCAATCCTGAACTGGTTGGTGGTTGAGCCCTACCCCTCTGAAAAATGATGGAGTTCGTCAGTTGGGATGCAAACCACCAACCAGTAATGGTAAGTCATGTAGGTAAACCATAGTTTTTTCTATGAGTTTCCCAGAAAATTGTAGTGATAATTTGATGAGATAATGAGAGGTAGGATAAAGCATGGTCAATATATGGTAGTATTGATCTTTTGATGTAGTGATAATATGATGATAAGATAATAAATGATCAATAATCACTGGTAATATATTGATGATCATAGATTTATTGGGTGATTTAGGCAAGATTGAATAAATGAGCATTGAGTTGAGTTTTCCATCAATCAAAAGGTGAAACATAGATTCATCATTCACCAGCCGATCCTTGAAAGAGAAGATGCAATCAATCCGCATGAGCATTGCTGTGTTGATGATTGAAAGAACTGCCAGGGTTCAACATCCATGTGAAGTCAGTCGAATTCATGAATCTCTTTGAAGTTCCTCGTCAACAAGCTTAGACAAACATCAGTTTTTTTGGATTTGGCGTGTCGTGGCAAGGGTTTGTCTCAAGAATGGGGCACATATACTGATATATTTCTAGATTTGATCGGTGGCCTTGAAAAAAATCTTGGATCTTCTGAAGCTTCATGAAACTTCTAGGTCCCAAGTCGCACACTGCAGTGACTGCCGGGCCATCCTTTTTGCCAAAGGCCCTGCCCGAAGATCGAATTATGTGAAGCCGGGGCACCAGGCAATGCCTCAGTTTTTTTGTAGACCCTTACGGCAGAGCCAGGAGATCAAGGCATTCATATCATGTATATATCTAGTCTCTATATATATATATATATGTATATATATATATGTATATATATATATATATGGAGGTTTCCGAAAATAGGGGTACCTCCAAATCAGCCATTTTAGATTGGGATGTTTCACTATAAACCATTCATTTTGGGGTATCCCCATTGAAACCCTCAGATACACAAGCTCAAGCGGTTTCACTGACGATAACTACCAGGTCAGGTGAAACGCTGGGCACGGTAGGTTTAGGACGCTTACGGCCCCATTGAAAACACGTTCAGATCCCAAGTGGCTTTGTCTGAAATATAAAAGTACCTCACACTTTTACTTCCAATATCTATGAATCAACCAATTCCATTTAATGGCCCAAATTTCCAATCAACTTTTATGTTTTTTTCAGCATTTTTCCAATCTTGCCAGTTTTCGGTGCAGCATTTTCTGTTGCGCTTCCTCTGCAGACTCCCCGACAAAGCGATGCCGTCATACTTGGGGGTTTACAAAGTCACGGGGGTGCCCTTTTAACCATCCAATTGGCTGGTCAAATGGTGGGAAACCACCCATTTGTTCGGTCATTCAGGAAACCAATGGCCCAATGGTGTACGCAGTCTCTATAACTTAGGACACCCCCATGAATCGAGACCCACGCGACGGTCTGACTGGCTCTCATCTGTTCTTTTTGCCCTTCTTGGGCTTCTTGACTCTTTCCGGCGCAGCCTGCGTCCATGCAGTCAAGTGGAAAAAATGGACCAGGGTCGCAATGTCAGATACACTTAATGTCAACCCCGGATTAATAAACCATGGTTTAATAATTGGGGGGGGTACTCCTCCAATAGTCATTTCATCTGATACTTTTTTTAGGGTACCCTCCCAATTAGTCACAGCCGTAAACGGGGTTTATTAATCCAGGGTTGACATTCGATAACAGCTGAAACTCTTCATCATCTTCGTCTTCATCTTCATGGGTTTGCTTTCCCTGTCCATCACTCCATCCCGCCTGGCTCGCTTTCCCGGACAGCGAAAACAGCGAAAAGAGACCACTTTCTTGAATCGCCCGGACGAAGAAAAAGAACCAAAGGCTGAAGTAAAGGAACAAATAGAAAGACACGAACCTTGGATCGTAGCAATGGGCGATCATCCAGAAAATTGGGGGGTGGATCATAAGTTACTAAATGTTGCTAAGCATTTGGGACTTTGTAGGGATAAAACACGGCAACCCTTCCTGGGTAGATGCCTTGCAATAGGTACTTGAAACATACAGCTGACTATCGGACACTTGGGCATTCTACTTTCTGTGAAAATGGCCATGAAAAAATGTTTCCACGTCTGATCCAGGTGTGCACCTGCTGCAGGTGCCTTCACAATCACGCATACTGCAGTCAGGATTCGGAGCGCACAACCATATCCTCAGGTCGACTTGAGGATGGCTTGGAATATTGAAATCATTGGTATCTGCAATGACAATAACAATCGGGGCAAGCAAAGAATGTCTTTAATTGTGAAGCGTAACTATTAAGGGTTATAACAATCATGATACCATTGGTATTGCTAATGAAAATGCTACGTCATAGTTGGGGTGACCCATGATCTAGGGGTACAAAGAAAATTGTCACCATCCATCTTTTTTGAGCCCATTGTTTCCCCCAAAAACTTGATCCATTCGTGGAATCCAATGCTCAAGTGGCTTGTACCGAGTGCTACAACCAGCTAGTGTTCATTTTTGTTAAAGAACATTACTCAATAATGATCCATCAACAACAATAATCAATCTTATTATACGTTCTTCTGTATTCTTAAAGATAAACACAATTATTCACTATTACTTCACCTAAGCTTTAACACCAACATAGCTGGAAGTTAACCGCGTTAATGTCCATCGGTTCTACCGTTGAGCCCGACAGGCATCAACGTGCATCGGCCTCCCAGAAGGTTTCCTCATAATTCAAGCCACCAGGGATCTTCAACAAACAAGATCAACGATAACCATATATGTTTTTTCATAAACATGATCACATCATTTTGATATTTTTTTTTTGTAGGTTAACCATAGTTTCCATCATGAACCCTCCATTTGTTGGTGCCTTGGTGAAGCGACGTCCAAACGTCGCGCATTTCTCCAAGCGTCGCGCGGTGCACCGAAGAGCGTCCCCCGAAGCGTTCGTAGCGCAGAAACCAATGCGGCCACTCCGCGAAGTCGACTCGGTGAACAGGAAAAACCATGGGGTTTTCTTATGGTTAAGATATAACTGATATAACCATAATAGAGTTACTGAGATATAACATGGGTTCAAGTTAAGATATAACTGATATCACTATTAAATACCCATTAATGCCATGGGTATTACATCTTAATGGATTTTCTTAACATCAAACATGGGGTTAAGATATAATACCCATTATGGTAAGTTTAATCTCTAGTTAACTCTATTTTTTTAACTATGGTATAATGGTTAATGGGGTTTATATGAAAACGGGGTTAACTATGGTTTATGGCTGGAAAAACTTATGGTAGATTGGTAGATATAACTGGGCACCATCCCCAGTAGCTAGGGTTGATTTCATGGGAAAATCCACCAAAATCCCAGCTGGTTGGTTTCAAGTGGACGATTTCTCCTGTTTTTTGGGACATTTCTGATTTGAGCCATTGGGGATTTGCAATTCAGAAAATGACATTTTTTTGTCAGTAAGAAATTGTATGACATCGTTTTTGGGTGAGCGAGCGCATTTTGTTTGAAACATTCTGGGGATGTTTATTGATCTCACCATCAAAACGTGAAGGATTGAGTTTCAGGTCTAGAAAAAATGATGGGTTTTAAGCAGCCAAATCAATGGTGGATATCACACCAACCAAGCTTATCTGGTTGGTGGTGCAATAACCATCTTGAAACATATGAAAAGTCAAAGGGAAGGATTATCTCATATATCATGGAAAATAAAACATGTTCCAAACCACCAACCAGATTCATTTTGATAAGTTATGGTTGCTGATTGGTGAGCCATTCAATGGGGATGTGGACATTTTTGAGAGCTGTTACCAGCCCATATATCGCCACCCATTTTGGTCCAAACATGCTGGCTTCATCCGATGTCTGACATTGAAAAGCAATGGAAAAAGAACGACAAACCATTCGGCGGCATGGAGTACTCCAGTTTCAAACCCATTCATCGATCATTCATCGATTGCCACCTGGTAACTTTCAGCTCGGACGACGATAAGATTCAAACATCAACAGCAAGCTGATTCTTGGATGAAACCAACCCAGGTGACTATTTTCCCAGGCTGTTCTTGTGCAATATATTCTGTTTTATTCCCATTTGTGCTTGGTCAACTCTCCAAATTTATGGTTGCTTCAACCAATCTTTTTAGATTTTCCATCCTATCCCATTATATCCCCCCCATTATGCCTATTGTAGTTGGTGAATAAAAATTCATATTATTCTTGCTTCTACCATGCATTTTGACAATTTTTCGGGTTTGTCTGAAAATGATGGGGCATCCCCAATCCAAATTGACATGGATTCTCCAGGTAGATATTTCCAAATGCTTCCGAGGGTTTATACAACGCAGTTTCATAGTGAAGATCTCCGTTTTTTTTTTGGGGAACATGAAAAACACCCAGCTGAGACAATTCTGCGAAGCGGCTTGGATCCAGCGCCGGGCTTTTTCGCATCAGTTGATCCACGTCCTCCAACCTGCGGAGATCACAGCGGTTTCCAGGTTTCGGATGGCACCTGGTTTCCGTTTCAGTCCGTGCAAGTCTTGGCAGGGGAGAATGAGAATGTATGGAAGTAAAGATGGCAAAATGAGAATGTTCGGAATGTGAAACATGTAATGTCAACTTGGCTTACTAATGAGGCAAACGTCGGTAAAAGTGTAAATAATCGGGTAATGAATGTCGAACACATCAACCAGCTTCGCTTTGAAGTTCATAAACATTCATTGCGTGAAATGATTAGGATTTGTGGCACTTCTTAGGAAACCAAGGGCTATTCATATGCTGGAATTGTGCGTCCTCGGCATTCGAAGCAGAACTCAAGTTTGGTGTATCACACTCCCTTGGGCTCACCATCGCGGTTCAATTTCCCATTTACCAAAACAATAAACTGAAAAACAACTGCAAACATCTACAAACTAAGCAAAAAGTCAGTAACCATCAGTAACCCATTCCAAAAAAAACAATTGGATATACTTTCATTTAGAATCTGTCATGAAAATTTCCAAATGGATCTATTCCCACAGCGAGAATCATCTGTAGCTCCCCCCATTGATGATTAGCAGCTGGAAGTCATCGGGACTTGGAAAGTCAATGTAGTGGGAGTCCCAGTAGAGCGTGCCCTGTCGCAATTTTTCGTCATGGCTTCAACATGGGGCAGCAAGCCACAAACTCTGTAATATTTACTGCTAAACCATAAACATATTTTTTTCGGTGGGAAATAGGTGTGACCCATCTCCAAATGATTGTAAAAAAAGCCTGGAAATTGGAAGAATCTGGTGATGTCTCTTTGAAACACGGCACAAATGCATAGAGCTTGCAAAGGGGATGAGCTACCATATGGCTTCAGACTTTTTTCGGCGCCCAAATAAACAATAAGAGAGAATCTAGTTGCAACATATCCAATAAGTAGCTTCAGAAGCTATCAGTTTTTCTTTGTCATCCTTCCGGGCTGCCCGACATCGGCGTGAGTTTTGGTAAAAACAAAGATGCGCGGATCTTGAACGTCTGTGAAATAGGGAATGTAGTCTTCCTTAGCGGAGCTTGTTTGCCAAGATCTGGGGCTCAGTTAGGCCGAGATGTATATCCCCACCAGAACTCACAGTGCTGCAATTTGGGTAACCAAACTTTGCCATGTGATGCTTTATGGTGCTTTGCTGTACCTCATTTTCTCCATACTCTCAGCCATCTTTCAAGTTCATAAGAAAAGGCAGTCCAAAACATATTTTCCCATCAAAACCTTCATTTATAAGGGAATTTTCCATTCCTGGAGGGTATCCTTGAAGGAATCTTGCTGAAGCCGTCTAGAAAAATTCCCTTCGCCGATGCCGAGCTGCCCAATAGGCAGCGATTAAAGGAAAGAAGGTCCTCCATGGCGGGGCAACGATTTAGAGAGGCCATCAAAAATAGAACATCTACCGAGTCTGCCTAAATGGTGGTAGAAAACAAAAAATCATCAGCAAATCCAGGGGTGTTGGGCCGGTTGCCACCTCTGTCAATGCCAGGATAAAACATCAATTTATTTGCCCCCGGAACGAAGATAAAGAGTAAATTCCATCCGGCAAACCACTTGTCTATCTTTCTGGGGTTAGCAATGTAGGGCTAGTTCTTGAACTTGCCAACCTCAGGCAACTTGCCTAGATTCGGACATAGAAGTAACACTTAGGCTGGGCTTCATCGCGTCTCCGTCGCCTCCGACAAAATCTAAAACTGCTTGGGACTCAAGCCCGTGCATTGGTCGAGAATCAAAAACATCGTCTTTCACTATGCTTCACAGTATGCTTGAGCTCTTTGAAAGGGTGAGCTACAATATCTTGGATATGCAATCAGCCCAGCTGTTGATCTTCCACATTTTCCGGAACCAACCACGCATGCCCATCCATTTTGTTTTGCAAAAATTGCGGCTTTTGTTTGTGCCAGTTTCTGTTGGATGCCAGAATCTCGCCATTCCTAGCTATGCATATTCATTGTGCATTGTCAGTATGTTGCCACATTGGCATATCTTTATTCTCGATGTTAGTCATTCCTGTGACGGCTACTGTGATACCACAACAATTCTTGATCTACATGGTATTTCAGTGACGGTCTTGATTTATTGTCTCCAGGGTCATTTGCAACTTGTTACCATCCGAAAATCATGGCTCACTGAAAACATCATATATCATCATATATCATCATATATGAAGTATCACTGGGTGTAACCATCTTTGAAAACTGAAGATATCAATGATTCGCATCGCTGGCTACCAGCAAAACTCCATACAGCTCCCATCGTTGGTGGTAAATCCCATAAAGGATCCCATAAAAGATCTCCATTCTATGGGTGAAACCACCATTTCTAAACATAATTGCAATCAATGTTTTTGGTGGCATCGCGACATCACCATATTGGTTGGTTAGTTTGGTTTATACGCTTTATAGCACTTTATCCCAATCATATCCCTAGTATCTCCCATTTAAATGCTGGGTTAGGTAGAGTGAGTTGGAGGATCATCTGATCATCAATCCCTTTTTGTGAATGGTCTCATATGTGGTTTCACCTATTTTGAATCATGGTTTCTGGATGTTGAATATCCTTGAATATCATATCCCTTTAAAGTGGCATTTTTTAATGGTTGGGTTATACCCACCCTCCATTCTCCACAAACCAGCCCCGTGGTCATGGCAAAACCATTTCCGGATTCAGTGGAGACGTCCTGCAAGGTCGGAAAAACATGACTCTTGCACTACATGACAAAGCTTTACTCTAACACTGTTTATACATATATATATATATACATAAATACATACATACATGTACATGTAACTGGGAATCTAGGAGGGTTGAACTTACAAGCTCTACTTATAGTGGCCTCTTAGGTCCCTAGGGTCACGGAACTGGGAATTGGGACAGGTTCCTGTTTTTGGTTTCTGGCGACCACCACAGTATGGGCTTTTTATGGATTTCACCAGTAAGGCTGGAAAATCAGCAATGGCGGATTGGAGGTTCTAAACCCCTGATTGCGTAAATGAGAATCATGGTTCCCAGATTTTGAGATGCAAAACATTTATGAAACCAACAACGAGTAAGGAATCCATTTCCAGTGACTCACCCAACGTCAGAGGTCTTTTTTGATTTTGTGACTCTGAAACACTTGTGATTTTCGTGCCACGAAAGTTCGACATGTCCAGATCCAAAGTATCGTCAAAATTCACTGGCTGCCTGCCGAAAAACATTGCCTGTTGGCATTCTTTTAAACCAAACACCAACCGGCTGAATCGCGGTTCAGCTGCCAGAAGAAAAGGTCAACCGGGCTGCCTCAAAATTTGGTACCCTCGCAATGGTTCATCACTATGTCCCTTTTCCAAAATGGGGCATGTTGGGGTCTCCACCATGTTGGCACATCGCCAGTATGGTGGTTTAGTCCCGTGGATAACAAATCCCTGAGCCAACTATATTGCTGGTATCTACATTTCCATTCTAAAATTCGAGGAAGAAATCCTGGGCGAAACCGGGATAAACCACCTATCGGTGCAGTTTTTTCATCGCGACCTCTTGTCGTCGCTAAACTTGGGCCATCTCCACATCCCCGCCGCTCCAAATGCACAAAGGAATAGCGTAAGGCTTCGCGCATCGCCTCTGGCGAAGAAGACCACCCTTTTTTCGAAACGATGACCATTGCGATTACGCCGATTACACCGATTACACCATGAAAAATGTTCCATTTAGTGGCAATTTGGTATTGAAATGAGGTTTTGAACCATTATCTTTGGGGACCAACATAAAGTTGGCAAAACATAAGACCTAAATGCTTGCAATGGTCGAAAAGTGCATTTGGCGTTGGCAAATCTCTGGGTTCCGTTGTTACTTCATGTAGAGCAGTGGAAGTAAAACGGACATGGCAAAATCCACAATTTATACTCCTTGGTTTTCACGGAGGTTCTACAGTTTGTTTCGAGGCACAAAGATCTCATTCGCAGTGACCCTGAAAAGTCTCATTTCTTGGATAATTCAAATGCATCCCACAGTTCATCGGTGAAAATGTCAGACGTGTTGGTTGAATCCCCGGTGTTTGGGAACATCATCATTTGGTCTGTTACATGTCTGAAATCACCATATATAATGGTAAAATCATCATAAATCATGGTAACATCACCAGAAATCAAAATTAAAAAACACCACACATCATGGTAAATTCACCACAAATCCACGACCTCTTCATTTTGGCCGCCGAAACTGCACCGCACCTTCGTGCGTTCTTGGAAGCGCTCCACGGCATCGTGGTCGCCGTGGTGACGGAGGACTACCACGGACCAACCTGCGGCTACCAGGTATGTATGTATATATATATATGTATAGCTATATGTCTATATCTTTATCTATCTCTCTCTAAATACATCATACATCAACTGATATATCCATTATATATTTATAATACAATGGGAATATACCTACTCGTATATATCCATGAAAAATCCATTATATATCCAATGGTGTAAAAAAACCTAATGTTTTTTATAAGACATGGATTTCCAACAAAATGGTGTATGGGTGTTTATATAGTGGTGTATGGGTGTTTATATAGTGTATATGCAATGGTGCAAAATACAGTGGGAAGATACATTATATATGTATATATGTATATATATATATGTATATATATATATGTATATATATATGTAAATATGTATATATATATACATATGTATCTATCCACAGTATACAACATATATTCACCATAACCAACAACAAAACAGCAAAAACAAATAAGCAAACAAACATCGAGATGCCAGAGAGAAAGGCTCGCACAGCTATCTTCAAACTTTTTCCTCACACGCACCAGGCCCAGGCCGGAGTGGTACTATTAAGCGCCTGGTTGCTGCATGCACTCCAGCCTCCTAAGGAAGCACCTAGGGTGCATACGGCTGTGCTAGGCTATTTTGACATGTAAAAATCCATATGGCAGCACGTTCCTGGACCAAAAAACTCTGAGATTCGAATTGCGGCCTTCAAGGCCGAAATAGACCGATCAGAGACACAAAAACAAATAGTAACACGTGTAAACTCTCCACATATATAAAAAAATTTGCAAGTCCTGAAAATACGGTATATATATATTTAGATATCTAGATCTAGATCGATATTTACATGTTTGCATGTGCATAGTGCATTCTGTGTCTGAGGGGATGTCTTGGGGCGATGTGAACAACAAACCGATGAGATGATAGGGGAATCCCCTTGTGCACTAGTGAGATATCTACGGGTTATGCAACTTATGTATGCTCATGGGAATTCAACAAGCGTCTCTAAATGGTGACTCCCCAAATAATGTTTGGGCTTATGGAAGAAAACAATCAACCAATTAACTGATAAGGTGGCGTAACAACACACCCACCCGCTAAAATCGGATGAACATGGGCTGAGCGGAAAAAGATGTTCATATTTCTGCGGGGGAAGTCTTGGGGTGATGTCGCTTAACAAGGAGCACATCTCATGGTTTGCGAGGGCAAAATTGGTTGTTTGGGATTCTAGTTTTTTTTTTTTGGGGGGATTCTTGGGATGACAGTGAAAACACTAGTAACGCGCCGCGCCAACGAAATGAAACTGGCGAGAAAAAACTTCCTTTCATCCGACAGAGAAGAATCTGTTTGCATTTCACCCGGCTCACATTTTTGGAGGCCCCAGCTACTCATCATTCCTTCAGCTTTGAGGCTTACCACAGTCAACAAAAGCATCATCATCCGTAGCCAAGTCTCAGTCCCACCCAAAAAAATACCCAACCCGCACCTATAGGGATCAATTCCCACATATAAAAGTTGATTTGATGACGCACTGTTGGCAAAGAACCTCAGATTCAACAGGGATCGCTGGATTAACTCAAAACCGCTGATGGGGTGAATTTTGAGGAAACATCTGGAGATTTTGGTATAATCTAACTCCTGAGTTCAGGTTCCTGCGCAAGCCCACAATGGGACCTACCACAATCGGTGAAATCATACAAGGTGGTGCTGCCCCCAGTGATGTTTGTTGGTTTGTAAACCCCACTAAGTAGATCGAAATATCCCCTATCAACACCTACAAGTGGGTTTACAACCCCAAAAAAACCAATGAAGTATGATTGGGGGTTGCTTGAAATCAATTTCAAAACCATGGGTTTCAATTTGTACCAAAATGCTTTAATTTTGGATGATTTGTACTTGTATGATCCCCATTGTAGGAAGCCTCCAAATCTACCACAAACCATAGACTTCTTGGCACCGCCTTGGGCCCAACATCTCCACTTCATCCCAAGGTACTGATAATCACCCAGGGTCTCATTAAATCCTTTCGCAGAAGAGTTGAGGGGGAAGACTTACACGGAGATTCTGTCGGCCTCTTTGTTCCCGAATGCGTAGCAAGGGTTCCCGTTTCACTCTGGGGGTCTGGGAGTTGCAACCGTCCGCGCGGGGCCCGTATGGCCGTGCCTATGGCGAGTTCTGCAAAAGGGGTCGCTTTTGGAGTTTTCCAACGTCGCATAGCTTCCTTTCGCGTGACAGGTTTCATAACGTGTCGAGAATCGTTTTCAGAAGATGCCTTGTATTTTTCGTGGCAGGCACAACACTTTGGAGACCTCCATCGTGATTTTGCATGGCAAGCGCAGCACTTTAGGCGTGTCGTGTTGCGTGGTTTTTACAAATCGCGTTGTCAGGGCTGCGTCAAGTGGCGACAAGGTGCAAATTCCGTGGCAGGCGTGGCATTTTGTGAGATGTGATGAAACTTGACGGACGCCTCGCACGAAACATTGATTTTGAGGTAGTACAATTTTGAGGTTCATAAGAAAGCTCCTAGGAAAACGTTGATTTTGAAGCTACAAAATGTGAAAATTGGAGGAAGTCTCGCACGAAATGCTGGTTTTGATGCGCATGTCTCGTCTCAAGTCTCTGGTTTTCCTGTGGCCTCGCCGTGTCTATGGGGAAAGCTGCAAAACCTTGGTTGGCTTTTCGAAGGTGTCAAAGGAAGTTGTAATGTCGGTTTGCGTGGCAGGTGTGGCACTTCGTGAGATTCTCATGTGTCTGCAAACTGCAAACGTGTCGAAAGTCGTTTTGTGTGGCAGGCGCAATACTTTTGCATCGTTTTCAGAAGATGCGTTGCAGTTGTCGTGGCAGGCGCAGCACTTTGGAGACCTCCATCGTCGTTTTGCGTGGCAAGCGCAGCACTTCAGACGTGTCGCGTTGCGTGCTCTACACTCCACACTTTACACTCTACACTTTACAATCCACACTCTATACACTCTATACACTCTATAAACTCGATACGCTCTATACACTCTACTCTCCACACTTTACACTCCACACTCCACACTCTACACTTTACACTCCACACTTTACACTTTACACTCCACACTTTACACTCCACACTCTACACTTTACACTCCACACTTTACACTCCACACTTTACACTCTACACTCCACACTTTACACTCCACACTCTACACTCTACACTCCACACTCCACACTCTACACTCCACATTCCACACTTTACACTCTACACTTTACACTCCACACTTTACAGTCGACACTCTACACTTTACACTTTACTCTTACACTCCAAAATTTACACCGTACATTGTACCTCCACACTCCACACTCTACACATTACACTCCACACTCAACACTTTACACTCCACACTTTATATTCCACACTTTTCACTCTACACTTTACACTCTACACTTTACACTCCACACTTTACACTCCGCACTCTACACTTCGCACTTCACACTCCACGCAACCATTGGCAAATCAACATCGGGCAGCAAAAAGGGTCTAAGCAAGAAATGATGCTTCACCACCAATTTATTCAGTTGATGGATTGGTTCAGTGGAAAGCATCTTTGGTTTCTTTCGGCAAAGGGATCTCCTGTGGAATTTCCTTTATGGTAAGCTCAATGAAAGCATTCATTTTTTGGATACATAATCTTCATCATACCACCCAAGTATGGATAGATATGCATGCTAGTCGCTTTCCGTCTTTAGCACACACCAAATCATCACCACCCGGGATATGGGCGACAGGGTGAACCGCCAGGATTCTGGTCATTTCTGTACAGTTTATGAGCTTGCGATGTGCAAAACCCCCAGTTATGTTCGCCCAAAATCCACATGAATGCTATAATCTATAGTTCTAAGTTCTACGTATCATAAACCATAGTGAAATTGGAATTATTGGCACCAACAGAACGCGATTTCGTGTGCCCTAAAAGTAGCGTTTTATCCATTGGGATGATTTTTTGAATCCTGACCCCTCCTGGTCGAAGGCCAACTCGAAAGGCGGTGCTTCAAGATGCAGTTCCTGGAGGAAACCCCCAAAAATGGCAATGAAACACCAGTTTTGAAACCATTCATTTCTCATACCAGCACTTTGTGGTTTACTATGTCAATCTAGTGCCAGCTTTTTTTAAAACCAACATTTTTAATTAAACCACAGTCAATAAGTCCCTTCCCAAAAACTGTTAGAACTCCTCAACATGTCGCTGGATCTTTCACCCTCCATCTGGTCCGGTAAAATTCATTTCCAAGAAAACCGACTCATTGATGCCAATGCTGAACTCCACTTTGAAGAGTTGGGACTCTTTCAACATCGTGTAAGGAGCGAATGCTCACATTCAATCGCGTGCTGACAGAGAACAGCCCGAACTCCAGAGTGAGGAAGTGAGGCTCAAATGACATTAGGAGATTCCAGTGAGGCAGCTGCGCAGCCACCATGTTGTCATCCTGCTTCGAAACAATCTTCCTGCGCCAGCTCAAAGTCGCGTGCGCATGCGTGCTCCATGTAGTAGGTCAGCTGAATGGCCCTTTCCATTTCCTCGCCAACGTCATTGCCATCAAAGCGCAGAACATGCACATCTCTTTTCGAGATATCGTCCATGATCGTCGGCAAAGCCGGCAGCTTCTGAAGAAACTTAGTGAGTCCTAATGATAAGGGCCCCATATCCCAGCTTATGGGTTGCTACAAAAAGACCATGGTATTCTACCCCGAAAAAACTCACCCCGACCATCATGAAAATCCCCATTAGGTACCTGTTTTTAGTGGTAAACAATTCAGACTCTTCCATATTATCCATAGCTATTCGATGGGAGAATCCATGGTTACCCTCTAGTAAACGTTCACATACCTATAGAAAATCATCATTTTGTAGCTGGCTAAATCAACGGTTTCTCAATGGCCATGGCTTCAAGTTCGCAAACTAGTCCTTACCAGAGTGTATATCCAATTACCCTCTGGTAATTTGTCACATAGCTATTGATAATGACCATAGAAATTGTGGATTTTCCCATTCAACATGGTGGAGCTTTCCATAGTTTTTTGTAAACATTTTCGAGCGGGTATAATATATATATATACACCCCCAACTATAATGATTATATCATCTTATATCATCCATAGTTAATCAGTGGTTAATAAGTGGTTATTTGATGTGACTATATTGACATATATAGATTCCAGAGGGTTATGTAAACGTTTACCAGAGGGTAACCACTAGTTCAGGGATTAAATGTCCTAATTTTTCACATCACCAAACTATTTTTGGATATAATCCCATAGTTTTCATGGTTATTTCCATATAAATCACCACTTTCCTATGGTTTTCCCATGGTTTTCCTATTAGACACGGTGGATCTTTCCATAGTTTTCATGGTGGTAAGCCCAAGAACAGGCCACGAGTTGACAGGCCTTGTTGGCGATGAAATGGATGGAGGGCCGGGTGCCTGGAAGATCCTTCCACTTCTCTCCTGGTGTTTTTTCAAATGGCCTGCGGTTGTTGGTGGGCTCAAAATTTATGGATTATGGCCTGCGATTGTGGGAAGATTATGAACATCCACACTGTTTTGGGAAAATATATCAAATAAGAATTAACAAGATGAGAATCCACCATGTTTCTGGGGTAAAATCTCATCAACAAGCAACAGGACTAGCAGTGCTCATCCCAGGACATTGGCGAAGACTCATGGGAAATTGATGGTGCTACCATGAAAAATGGAACTTTCATGGCATGTTCGCGGAATAAACATGGGGGTGGGGCAAATATCCATCATTTTTTCTAGAAACATTTGGGCATTGGGGTTTGATTCAACTGTTTCTGGCAAACACTAGATGATTTTGGGGTTCTTTATTGTAGGGAACCCCCTGACCTATCAGCATTCAAGCATTCTTTTTGGTTTTTGTTGGATAATTGTATCACCATTATTTCTCCATCGAAGGTTACAACATTCTCGAGCCAGCAATGGATATTTCCCACTCTCCCTCTCTCTCTCTCTATAGAAAAATATAAAAATATAACCATAATGAAAAACGGTGAATCCCCATATATATCACAGTTCCAGAGACACCCAAATCATACATCGATGGTAACATCTCCAATTGCGTACGCAATTTCCCAATCATAGCAACATTTTACCAACATAACTTCAACATGAGGCCAGCATTATAAGTCATTCATCAGTTCCTTCTCCTCAAATCACATCCCCATAGATTGCCTACAAGCGGTGCATCTGTTGAGGACACTTGGGGATTATGTATGTATCTGTATTTATTTGGTTATGTGAAATCTCCCCTAAAATATCCCCAATCCCGTTGTTTCCTCAGAAAAAATCCCACGATGTCACGGCATCTCCTCCATTGTCCACAGCCAGGTGGAAATTTTGGAACTCCATCAGTTCCATCGCCAATGCCTCGATTTTTGCGTGAATGGCTGATGATTCAGCGGTGGATGTCAGGTCCGACGAGTTTTGGGGGCTCAACCAACTTGCAACTAACATAGGGATATTTGCAGGTAGGTTGTTAACAACCCTAGTAAAACCCTGTTAAATGGCTGTAATATCCTCACTTTTATATGGGTTATATATATATATATATCTCGGTTGTACATGGATTAATTATAGACCGCTTCTGTTTCTGGCCACATCCAAGTGAGCGGAACTCGTGATTAATAGCAAGTTGAAGGGAAATTCGCCGCCCCCAAGCTTTAGTGGATGGATAGGAGTGCCCAAAATTCGGGATATGGGCGATATGGCGATAGTTCACCAAAAATGAGTTTGTCCAAACATGGCGGAAAACAGGTGTATCACAAATCCACTGCAGGATAGGGCCCCCAGTCGAGCTCGCGTTCAGTTGCCTTATAAGTGGCTGAATTCTATGGTTTATGGTAGATACAACTATAGTTAATGGGGGTTTTGCTATGGTTTATAAATCAACTTATAACTGGGGAGCTCAGAAATGATTGACCGCTGACTTGCAATTTTGTGGCTGCATTGGTGCCTTTCCAGGACAACGGGATGGTTTTATGTAACCACCAAAAACGTCAAACCTTCATTTGCCCATATTTCACTAGGACTTTACCTTTCCATCTTTTTGCAGTGCCATATAACAGCAGCATTTCTCACGGTGAACACCAACCCCCAATTTGATGGTTACTTGCCACTACCCAAGGCACCCAAGGGACCTCAACAGGACCCCAAAATGGGGCGGGGCACCTCGTATCTCAATAGGAGTTCAGGGTCCGGCTTGCTCACGACCAGCAGGAAACACGGGACCTCGAAAACTTCCCGAGCCAAAATAAATCACTGGGTTGGTGTTGGGAGAAAATATGCTATGAACCGCAGCTCTCCCTTAACTTTCAAACCCTTCAGCCTCGCATTCGACGCGATCTGCGCGCGAAGCGCTGCATCTAGGGGACATTCGACATAGTTTTCCAGCAAAAATGGATGGGTTTTGTATGGTTTTGTGGTCAGTGATGCCCATAAATATCTATCGATCCATCGTAACGAAAAGATGATACCATTCACTGTGCCATGGTGGAGCTAAACACCGAACATGGATTTTGAACACCAAAAAAACACGTGAACACCAAAAATGGTTTCTATTTCTATTTTAAAAAACCAATTGGTGATGTTTTAATGGATAGAAATCAATCATTTTTGGATGAATGTGTGATGTTTTTAACTTCCAATTTTGATGTTAAGCAGTAAGGGGTGCCTTGGGATACCCCCAAAGAGTTTCGAATTCTTCGGTGGACAAGTCGGACAAAAAAACGCTCGACTCACTGGATCAATCGCCGTGAATTCACCTATTTTTGGAGGGATGTATAATTCGGAAAATTCACGGCGAACTAATAGGTTAAATTATGATTAATCCCCCAATGGCGATTAATGGCTATTAATGGCTATTTTAAGGAATTATGATTAATCCCCCCATTTTGCGCGGGAACTAATGGGCTGAACACAGCCCAAAAAATCGTCAATGTTTGAAGACCAGGGCCATCCCATTAGACTCGGTAGGCGATTAATGAACGGGTTTCATCGTTCCTTGATTCCTTTGTGTGTTCCCCAGTTCATCGTCCCCAGAAATCCACGATGATTTCCATGATATCACCATTTTGGATGGTTTTTGTTTTCACATTTTTTTTTTGGGTAAAATCATAGAATTACACTTTTTTCGGATGGTTTTTGCACATCTTTTTGGGATGAGTTCACCCAGATTCCGCTTTTTCAATCCCTCTCCCAATCCAAAACCCACCAGAATGGCGACAGGACACAGCTTGATCCTCCTGTCCAAGCCATTGCCTGATCGTCCCGGAGGGTATGGCGAAGTGCTTAATAACCCATATATAACTTTATCAAACTAGTACATAAGGGTATATTCTATATATATAATATAATATAATATATATATATACACATATCCAGATAATATATATATATATAAATCAATAAATACTTAATATATGTATATATATATACTTAATATATATATATACTTAATATATATATATGTATACACTTAATATAAATATATATACTTAATATATATATATACTTAATATAAATATATATATATACACACACTTAATATATACATATATATATACTTAATATATATATATATACTTAATAAATATATATACTATATATATATATACTTTATATATATACTTAATATATACTATATATATACTATATACTATATATATACACACGTGTACCTATCATAAACCGTAGCAAAACTGGAGTTATTTGCACCAACTTTGCTAACTATGATGCGCAACTTTGGCATATGTATATATATATATCTGTACAGGTCAACATACAGTAATAGAATCATCCTGAAGTAGATAGACTATGGGCTTTTGAAAGATATTCATATAAACCTCAAACAGATAGAGAGTTTCGTTTCCAGGTTCGATGAGATTCACCCCATAATTTTCAGGCGTCCAACATTTCTATTTTGGAGTTGCTATATATAGATATATATACACATAATTTGGGGAACACAGAATAAAAATAACAACAATAACTTAGTCCTGTTCCGTAAAAACGACGTGAAACATATGATTGAACATCAGGGAACCATTATAGTTTGATGGTTAAATATCAACTCAACAATTCATTTCGAATGGTCGAAGATCTTTGGCGACTAGCTGGGATCTCAGCAATGGCTTGCATTCGGAATTCATTGCGTTCAGAAAAACGCCTGACATTCATTTGGAGGTTTCCTGAAATGGGGGTACCAAATCATCCACTTCAAATCCGGATTTCCCTCATAAACCATCCGTTTTGGGGTACCACCATTTATGGAAACCGCCATTTAAATGATAATAATTCACTAACCTGAAAAGAGCTGTCATGATAAGGCCATTTGGGGATGATTTCCCTGAAATACGGTCACCACTTCCAGCTCTTCGTGGATATAAAACTCACCATAGGTATAATAGGGGCCCCATATCATCAACATGGGGGGTTACCGAATCACCATGGTTTTCTATCAAACATGTGAACCTCTTGCCCTCACCCCCTAGAAATTCCGGCAATTCTGCTGGGTTTCAATCTCTGGGGGGAGTGATGCCAGCAAAATGGTACCGGAAAAGCGGAACACTGCTGGAACCCTGCTGGAACCTCGTGGAACACCTGGCTGGAACATCTGGGTTTCTTTTTACATAGTTTCTTGTGATGCTGGAATCGTTGCGTGAATCTATGAAGGAACCCGCCGGAGCCCTGGCATGAAGCTTGCAGAAACCCTTTGGTAGAGCCCTTGCAGGAACTTGCAGGTGTAGTTCGAGTTTTGCTTTATTAGTTGGCATGTTTCTCTGCTTAATATGCGGGACTGTTTCTTGTGTCATTAAAATCTAGAACCATGGAACCCGGAAAAACCTGGAACGATAGACCCTGGAATCCTGGAACTTTGGAACCCTGAAACCCTAAAATCTTGGAAGCCTTTAATCTTGAATTAATCCTAGAACCTTGGAAATCTGCATCCTTGGGATCCTAGTGCAAGCTTGGAACTTTGCCCCATGACCCTGCAACATTGGATTCCTGGAGCCCTGTAACCTTAGAATCCTTAGAACCCTCTGGAATCCTGGAACCGCCCTTTGCAACCTGAAACTTTGAATTTTGAGACTCTCATAGTATGGATCTCCATGGAATCAGCCAAGAAACTTGGAGTGCTACCCTGGGAAACTAAGTCTGGAATTGTGATGATTGGAACCCTGGAAACCTGGAACCCCAGAATCCTGGAACCTTGGAACTCTCAAAGCCTACAACCTTGCAATCCTGGAAACCTACAGCCTACAACTGTGCAAAACTTTGGATCCTTGCCCGATAAGATTGCAACCTTGGAACGGAACCTGCTGTTGGGTTGCAAAACTGGGTTCATGTGGTACCCTGGTTGCCACAAACCTACCAGCTTCGTACCCATTTTTGTGAAAATTTGGGGATGGCTTTACCATTCTTTACCCAGTCTTTACCACATTTATAGAGGCGACCGTCATAACCATTCTTTGCCCATCTCCAAGCGTCTCCATATTCTCCACAATGATATAGGCCGGGCGGGACGCGCGTCCCACCCAATAGCTGACACTTTCTTGGTACCAACTAAACCTGCGGAGGTTTCCCTCGGTCGGGACCCAAAAACTCACCAACACGGGCAATGGATGGATGCGGGGGACATCTGAAAACTGGAAACTCAACTGTTTTTACCGCCAATGATTGGGATTGAAAAACCGACCTCTGCCATTTCAAACGAATTTTTTTGGGTGATTCACAAGTTGTCAAAGCAAACGTAATGGTAGGTTTTCATTGGAAGTCCCAGCTCATTGATTCTGATCATCCAAAATATCTAACAAGGCAGTATAGCCTCCTACAATAATCAACCAACCGTAATTTATTAATTGTATGCCAGTATTCTTGATAGTTCAAACCCCTATAAATGATTAGAGCCCCATAAAACAACTAATCAGCCAGGAATCTATGTCATATTCTTCGGTATATCATCCCATTATCCCTATGATATCTTCATTTCTAATGGTAAAAAAATTGGAGATCAACAACGTTAAGCAGTTAGCCACTATTATTCTGAAGTCATTAAGTGAACCAGTTAATCCCCTCTTGTTATCATTATTCTTACGTCGCCACTTTGATTACTATGATCATTGATATATATATATATAAATCTATATATATATGTATGTATGTATGTATGTATGTATGTATATATGTCTAGATATAAATAAATATGTAAATATGGACACATAGCCCACTACCATCCATTATCACTATCTTATTCTTTAAAGTTGACTGGCAAAAACAAATTCTCCGCATTCAGCTCCCCGTCCTATTGAAGCGCTGCACGTATGGCCCACGAAAAGACATTAAACCTCAAGGGGCCCGGGGTGAAATCTCTAAGGTTGTAAAGGGATAATAATGGGATAATGTTCGAAAGGAGTTTAGAAGTCAAACTTCCGACAATATGGACAGATGAAAAGCAGAGGTGGGAAGAGTCAGAGAAGAGAAGAAAAGAAGAAACAAGATCAGGGAAGAGAAAGAGTCAGAAGACAGAAAATGCAGATGCGCGAAAAGGTAGGAAAGTCGCGAAGCACTATGTTTTTCCAATGATTTGTGGCTCCGGAGGGTCGAAAAGTAGGCTCGCTAAAGCGGCGGGTGCGGAGCCATCTGGCCAGATGAGAGATGAAAAAGTGCACGCCGTTGTGGCGCGAAGCACATTTCGAAGTCAAAATGTACAAAGCACACCATTCCCGGACCACTTTTGGAAGTTGAGATGTCGAAAAAGTGCACGCCGTTGTGGCGCGAAGCGCATTTCAAAGTCAAAAGTGTTAAAAGCTGTCCGTCTCGGAGCGCTTTTGGAATTTGAGCTGTTGAAAAAGTGTACGCCGTTGTGGCGCGAAGCACATTTCCAAGTCAACTACATTATGCTACACTACAGTAATTACACTACCTTACGCTGCACTCCGCTTCACTTCACTACACTCCACTACACTATACGACACTACAGCTACAGCTACAACTACATTACGCCCTACACTAGACTGATTACATTACACTGGGCTACAGTACACTCCACTACACTCCACTCCGCTACGCTAGCTACAACGACAACTACACTACATTACACTACGCTACACTACATTACACTACACTACACTCCACTACACTACACAACACTACACTACATTACACTACACTAATTACATTACACTACGCTACACTCCATTACACTCAATTACACTACACTACACTGCGCTGCACTGCACTGCTCTACACTACTCTACACTAACTACAACTACAACTTCAACTACGCTATATTACACTGTACTACACTACACTGATTACATTACACTACGCTACACCACGCTACACTACACTAACCACAACTACAGCTACAACTACGCTACTGTACTTTACACTACAGTAGACTACACTACACTACACTACCCCACCCTACGTTACATTATGGTGCACTCATTACACCACCACAAACGCAACTGCAAATACACTACACTACACAAATTACACTACACCACAACTACAACTTCACTACACTACAACTACAACTACAGCTGCACTACACCACACTGCATCCAGCAGTTGTGGGTGAGGTGACCGACCAGGTGACCACTGCAACCATCGTAATCATTCCAAAAAACTCAACTCCAACCACCTTTCAGTCCATCAGTGGATTCGCTCTGCCATCCGTGATTCACAAAAACCAAGCTTTCCTATAGGTTTCCTATTTTTGAAACTTCTGCCACCGCCTTGTGCGGTACTACTGGTATAATGGGATAATGGGTAATAATAATGTTATATTGGGATAATGAGAATGATAATGGGATAATGTTACAATGGGATAATATATATATATTATTCTAGGGGGACTGGGGTGATATCTCTAATTTTAGTTCTGGGAGAATGGGATGATGGTTATAGTTATGGGATAATGCTTCTAGTAATGGCTTGGTTTGAGGGGAAAAATGGCACCGGAAGGAACGCCCTATATTTCCTGGGGAAACCCATGGCTTCCTGTAGATGTTTCCTTCAATCCAGGGAAGTTAACCATGGTTGGTATCGGATAGGATGATTAACCCATCGCACTTTTTATGGGTCAATCACTGATCTGAATGGGAGGATGAACTTCGAGTCACACAGCAAACTCTAGTGAGTTTAGTTGATGTGAAGTCAGGCACGTACTGATAGGGTTTTCGTACTTATGCATGTCGAATGGAAACGCGAAACAAAAACACATTTTGACCCCAAAGTAGTTTCATGGTCTGTAAATATATATACTCCCTATAAACATCTATAAATCATCGAAGGAAGTGTAGAAGTCAAACTTCCGACAATATGGACAGATGAAAAGCAGAGATGGGAAGAGTCAGAGAGAAGAGAAGAGTAGAAGAGAGAAGATCAGAGAAGAGAAAGAGTCAGAAGAAAGAAGATGCAGATGCGCGAAAAGGTAGGAAAGTCGCGAAGCACTGTGTTTTTCCAATGATTTGTGGCTCCGGAGGGTCGAAAAGTAGGCTCGCTAAAGCGGCGGGTGCGGAGCCAGCTGGCCAGATGAGAGATGAAAAATTGCACGCCGTTGTGGCCCGAAGCACATTTCCAAGTCAAAATGTACAAAGCACACCATTCTCGGACCACTTTTGGAAGTTGAGATGTCGAAAAAGTGCACGCCGTTGTGGCGCGAAGCACATTTCGAAGTCAAAATGTACAAAGCACACCAGCTTCGGACCCCTTTTAGAAGTTGCGATGTCGAAAAAGTGCACGCCGTTGTGGCGCGAAGCACATTTCGAAGCCAAAATGTTAAAAACACGAGGGGTTCGGACCACTTTTGGACGTTCAGATGTCGTTTCGTGTGGCAGGCGCAAGGGATTGTGCACCTGGTCAAAAGTGAGCAAAACGTGAGGGTTTTGTAGCATGTCCAAAAACGATGGCAGGCGTGGGGCATTTGAAGAGGATCTTCAAAGATGCATTTCACGTGGCAGGCGCAGTACAAAAGACATGTTCATCAGAGATGTTAAGAGGTCAGGACGCAGATTTCCTGAGAATGGTTTCATTTTGGAGCATCAGATCTGTAGGTTTGCAAAATGATTTTGTGTGACAGGTGCAGCATTTCGTATGACCTGGCATCAATTTTTCGTGGCAGGCGCAGTACTTTAGACAGGTGGAGTGGACAAATCGCAAAACGCATTGGTACGAGGCTGTCAGCTTTGCACTCAACTTTCCATTTTTGAAGGAAGTCTCGCAGAATTCATTTGTTTTTGATGTTGTCAAATTCAAAAATAAGGGGAGTCTCGCGGAATTGCTTCGTTTTGGATGTTGTCAACTTTGAAACATGAAAAAGTCTCGCAGAATTTCTTGGTTTTCAAGCTTGCAGATAGACAGGAGATAGATAGAGAGACAGACAGACAGACAGACAGAAAGAGAGAGAGAGAGAGATAGAAAGATAGATAGAAAGATAGATAGATGGAAAATCAATCCCCCACCGCCTCCGAAGGCCTGCATTCCCACATATGTTTCTTTTTTAATTTCTCGATATGCAAAATTCATATATGTCTTCTGTCAGGTTGTCACCAAGGGGAGATTGGTGCTGCCACCGCACAAACAGGCACAATCCTTACATGATATGCCTTTCAATGTATTTTGATGGTTCAGTCATATTCAATCATGATCAAGACAGGCCCAGGCCGCTGCGACCGAGACCGGTGAAGCCAGTGAGGCCAGTGAGGCCAGTGAGGTACTTGCAATAGTATGATCTTGAATGATCTTGAAATGGTGCAAAGGTCTAATCTATCACATGTCACACACATATATATATATATACATATACATATGCATGTTTGTTGCAGGTACGTGATCTTCCTCCACCTCCACCTCCAAGAGATCCATTTCCACCTGTTCCGGCGATGCCGGAGGTTGCGCAGCCGATCCCTCCATCATCAACCATTGTCCTTCGGCACCTTCGAGGTTTCCTTCGATCCCGACGAAACTTTCGCCTGTCAAGGTATCCCCATGTGAAACTAAGTCAAATCTTGGCATACCTCGAGTGGCCTTTTTGTACATGTTGGGGTTCGACGGCATCAGCTTCTTCTCGATCTGCTTGGGAGGCGTCTGAGGTGCTGCAGATCCAGACGCCTGCATAAAAGAAGATTGTCACATGCGTGCTCATGTACTACATATTCACCTTATGTGCTTTACGTTTCTTCTCTGGCTGCGCATCATCTGGCATCGGGCCCTTGTCGATGATGGCAATGACCTCCAATGAAGACACTGTTACAAGAAAGACACAGAGAGAGAGAGATAGATAGATAGATAGCTAGATAGATAGGTGCCCCAACCCTTAATCACCCTTTTGAATGCCCAATCTCCAGAGAATAACGAATAATTCTATCTAATTCCATATGAACTTCCTCAAAACCATGAAACCCCTCATTTTTCCTGGCGAAATCTCACCATTTATTTCCCAACACCCACCATGTTTCCTCAAAAATCGGACCACCAAGGCGCTGGGATATCTACCCTTGGTATGTCGCTGACAAATCTCTTCGTTGGCCTTTCTTGGAGGTTGCGTGCTGAACGGGGGGCTGCAAATGCTGAGGGAACTTGTCATACATACATACACACACACATATATATATATACACACACGGTATATACATATAATATGGTCGTAATGGTTATGGTGGGTTTAATGGCTGAAATATATCCTGGGGTAACCAAAAAATATGGTGATGATATGCTAGCATATTATAGCTGTAATGTGGTCACCGGGTAGTGCCTGGTCCGCGCCGGGGCGGAAGCTTCGAAAAAATGAGGCAACTGTAGGAAGAAGGTGGCCTATAGGAAAGTTGTTGCGATGCAGAAGCAACGAAATGTTGGAAGTTGTGAGGCGCATCAATGAATGAGCAAATGGTTGTTGAGATGACACTGACATGTTCCATGAACAGCTGCCCGAAGGAATCAATGAACCAATGAAACGATGAATCAGTGAATGAATGAATCTGTGAATCGATGAAGGAACGAAGCAGTGATTCAATCAATTAGTGAATCAATAGGTTAGTTCGTCAACGAACCAATTTTTCAATGTACCACTGAATCAAAAAAAGAGTCAATGAATCAAAATCAACCAAGCAATGAACCAATGAATCAGTGAACCAACCAATCAATGAATCAATGATTCATTGAATCAATGAACCAAGGAATCAGCGAATCAGTGAATCAATGAACCAATGAATTAATGAATCAGTGAGTGAACGAAAGAACGGAGCAATGAATGAATCGGAGGATGGGTTGAGTTACTTTTCTTTGTGAGCTACTTCTTGACTGAGCGACCTCTTCGCTGAGGAACCTCTTCTCTCATCTATTTTTTCTCTGAGGCAGCCACTTATCTGGGCTACTTCTGCTCTGACCTGCCTCCCAGCTAGCTCTCCTGTAGCTTCTGCAACCAAATTCTTCTCTTCCGCAGCTGTTACAATGCGTTTAGCAACTTCCGGATGCAATCCCGCGTAGCAGAAGAGTAGCGCTTTGGTCAAAAATTGCCTTGCGCGCAGCAGTTACAATGCGTTTTCCAACCTCCAGCTGCAATCCCCCTTGCCAGGATTGTCGCAACATCACTGATACCTTCCTGCGTGCAGCCGTGCCAATGCGTTTTGTCAAAGCCGGTTGCAAAGCCAAATGGCAGGAGCGTCACACCAAATCGAAAAACATTCGTGCAGCGTCAACAGTGCGAACTCGACCACACAAATCCAGGGCCGCTCCGAACGTTAATGTTGACATCGTATTAATAACCCCCCCAACCATTAAGAGCATCAGAAAAAAGTTAGGGCCAAACATTCAACTATCGTAAAAATCACCTATGTATTCCCAAATGAATTGCCTAATTGAAAACGAATACATACGGGAACTTCCCAAATGAATTGCCTAATTGAAAACGAATACATAAGGGAACTTCCCCCCCAAAAAAAACACGTATGTATTCCCAAATGAATTGCCTAATTGAAAACGAATACATACGGGAACTTTCCAAAAAAAAAATCATCTATGTATTCCCAAATGAATTGCCTAATTGAAAACGAATACATAAAAGAACTTTCCCCCCCCAAAAAAAACACGTATGTATTCCCAAATGAATTGCCTAATTGAAAACGAATACATAAAGGGAACTTGCCCTCCAAAAAATAAAATCACCTATGTATTCCCAAATGAATTGCCTAATTGAAAACGAATACATACAGTGAACTTTCTTGGAACTTTAGTATTCACAAATGAATTGCCTAATTGAAAACGAATACATAAAACTTTCTTGGAACTTTAGTATTCACTTTCTTGGATCTGTAGTATTCACAAATGAATTGCCTAATTGAAAACAAATGCATAAAGTGAACTTTCTTGGAACTTTAGTATTCAAAAATGAGTCTTGAGGGCTTCAGGAAGGGTTTGAGAAAGGGTTCAACTAGGAAAGGAATTGAGAAACACATTTAATTAACCACCAGAATTTTAGAACCCTGAAATCCAAATACTTTATTTAGGGGTGTGCAAACATACATTATTATTTTGATGTCAGGGGACTTCAAGGCTACCCCCTTTGCGCGATTGTTTTTTGGCATTTTTTGAAAGGGGTTAGTAAGGAAATCGACCATTTGAGCCTTGTTGATTTTTTTGCACTCCAGAACTTTTCAGGCAAGATTTGGAGTTTGAAGTTTACTGCTTCCAGCTCAAAGAGTCTTGAGGGCTTCAGAAAGGGTTTGAGAAAGGGTTCAACTAGGAAAGGAATTGAGAAACAAATTTAATTAACCACCAAAATTTTAGAATCCTGAAATCCAAATACTTTATTTAGGGGTGTGCAAACATACATTATTATTTTGATGTCAGGGGACTTCAAGGCTACCCCCTTTGCGCGATAATTTTTTAGCATTTTTTGAAAGGGTTTAGTAAGGAAATCGACCATTTGAGCCTTGTTGATTTTTTTGCACTCCAGAACTTTTCCAAAAAAAAACTACCTATGTATTCCCAAATGAATTGCCTAATTGAAAACGAATACATAAGGGAACTTTCCCCCCAAAAAATAAAATCACCTATGTATTCCCAAATGAATTGCCTAATTGAAAACGAATACTAAAGGGAAAAAATGGAAAAAACGGGGAAAAAGTTGGCGTACTTTATTACGGGGGGGTTTGATTATTGTGAACCGGGAGTTGGCGTACTTTATTGCGGGGGGGTTTATTAACGCCATGTGAACATTACTTTTTTTCAATTTTGAAATTGAAACCGAGCTCTCGCCACAGTCTCGTGCGCATTTTGCCGACCTCATTTTCCAAAAGTGTTCTGAACGCTTCGATTTTTTAACATTTTGAAGTGCAAGCCGAGCTCTCGCTACAGTCCTGTGCACTTTTTGTCGACAACTTTCCCAGATCGAGGCCTGCACCCGCAAACAGAGACCCCCCTTCGGCCACCACAGAAGCCACTTTACCCGACAAAAACACAAGGTTTCGCACCTCAGAGCCTCTTTACCCGTGAATTCACGCGTTCCCGAACTGTTACACTTTCTAACTATGATGGTTGGTTGACATGATGATGTGGTTGACATGATGGTGGAAATGCTAGTCCACAATCGTCCGTAACTCGGAAGTTTTCGAACTAAACTTCCTTTGATATACTTAGAAACTAGATCAACAACTACATACTATTGATCTATTGGGCATCCCATCACTGGGCAAAGCAACCTACCACTTACAAAATGGGAAGTCCACCACTTGGTACAGTTCCACTAGTGGCTTATACAACCATAGTTGTAGGGGCCCCATATCCCAACTGACGGAGGTTTAAATCCAATAGTTACACCCCAGTGCAGCACCGGGCACGCGCACGTGCGCCTGGTTTGTACAGTCCATGACGAAGAAGCGTAGGGGTCGAAAAAGCAGGAATTCTCCTTGGCCAATGGGGACATGGTATTTATTGGGGGGTTTCCATAAATAAGGGCATCCCCTATAGCTGGATGATTTATAGATTTTTCCAGTAGTACCGCACAAGGCGGTGGCGGAAGTTTCAAAAATAGGAAACCTATAGGAGAGATTGCTTGTTGTGAATCAAGGATGGCAGAGCGAATCCACTGATGGACCGAAAGGTGCTTGAGGTCTCCTCTCTTTCTCTCTCTTGCTCTGACTATCTACTTACCTACCTGTCTATCTTCTATGCATCTATCTATCTATCTATCGATCGATCTATCTATCTATCTATCTCTCTCGCTCTCTCTCTTCCATCTCATTACCTATCTATCTATCTATCTGTCTGTCTGTCTGTCTATCTATCTATCTATCTATCTCTCTCTCCCTTTCATCTGGCTATCTGTCCAGCTGTTTACCAGTCTATCTGTCTATCTGTCTATCTGTCTATCTATCTATCTATCTATCTATCTATGTGTCTGTCTGTCTATCTGTCTACCTGTCTATCTGTGGTGCAATGTCATTCAGTGTAATGCAGTGTAGTGTAATGTAGTGTAGTGTAGTGGAGTGTAGTGGAATGTAGTGTAGTGTAGTGTAATGTTGTGTAGTGTAGTGTAGTGTAATGTTGTGTAGTGTAGTGTAATTTAGTGTAGTGTAGTTTTGTAGTTGTAGTTGTAGTGTAATGTAATGTAGTGAAGTGTAGTGGAAGGTAGTGTAGTGTAGTGTAATGTAGTGTAGTGGAGTGTAGTGTAGTGTAATGTAGTGTAGTGTAGTGTAATGTAGTGGAGTGTAGTTGTGTAGTTGTGTAGTTTTAGTTGTAGTGTTGTGGAGTGTAGTGTAATGTAGTGTAGTGGAGTGTAGTGTAGTGTAGTGTAATTTAGTGTAGTGGAGTGTAGTGGAATGTAGTCGTGTAGTTGTGTCGTTGTGTAGTTGTAGTTGTAGTGTAGTGGAGTGTAGTGTAGGGTACTGTAGTGAAGTGTAGTGGAAGGTAGTGTAGTGTAGTGTAATGTAGTGTGGTGTAGTGTGATGTCGTGTAGTGGAATGTAGTGGAGTGTAGTGGGGTGTAGTTGTGTAGTTGTAGTTGTAGTGTAGTGGGGTGTGGTGTAGTGAAGTGTGGTGGAAGGTAGTGTAGTGTAGTGTAGTGTAATGTAGTGTAATGTAGTGTAGTGTAGTGTAGCGGAGTGTAGTGTAGTGTAGTGAAGCGAAGCGACATTTGAACCTTTAAAAGTGGTCCGAATCCCTGGTGTTTTTAACATTTTGACTTCGAAATGTACTTCGCGTCAAAACG